GCCTTCAGTGGCAGAGCACCTGCTTAGCAGGTGTGAGGTCCTGAGTTCAACCCCCCAATTACCCACCGAAAGAGAAGGGCAAAAAGGATTTTTAAGGCATACTATCCAGAGAAGAAACCTATGCCTCACAAAAAAAACTTGACCATCGCACAGCCTGGTTCCTGGCTGAGGAACCAGACCCAGGTTCCTCATGGTTCATGCAAATTCCTGGAAGTAGGTCTACCTACCAGTCTCACTCATATGACATGATCAACAGCCCAGAACAAAACTGGAGAGAGTCAGCGCCTCCTTCACCTAGCCAGAGAGCTTGGGGGTCAGGAAGAAGCATCTGGAGAGAGTCACAAGAATAACTGTAAAAGAGCTTCCTTGGACACCCCAACCTCTCTCTACCCTCTGGAGGACCAAACCATCATCTTGATTCTCTATCTTAATAGGAAAACATTTCTTTGTCAAAATGTGCAAATGCTTTCCTCAACCTTTCAAGCAATGCTATCTCTCTCTACTACCAGTGATGAATACACAGAAGAGAAGCCTAGAAAAAATGGAATGAAATGCACAATTTAGCAAAGTCCCTAAATAAAGTAAAAGGAGCCCATACAGCCTAGAGAGTCCTCAAATCCTGGCTGGTTATGAAGAGTCATGTAGCTTAGACAAGTCAGTTTGCCTCTGTAGGCACAAGCATGGGCAGACCATGATAGGGAAGTCCAGCACATAAGGTCAGGGGAGAAGGTCATCCCAGGGAGTATCACTGTGCACAGGAACAAGGGACAGATGGGAAAACCATTTCCAGGGATGAACCATAGGATGTAATAACATAACAGATGTGGGGAATGGAGAATATAGCAAGATGAATCTAGAATTCTCCTAGTAAGTACGACAACAGGTCAATGGAAGTACAATGAGTTCCTGATGCAATGCAAGGACTTAAAAATAAAAGAGTTAATGAAATTTTATTACATTAACTGTGTGTCTTCTAAAGTATGTTCCCTTATTCACCCAGTTTCCATCTTCCATCTAAACTGGGGATTTATAAGACCCAGGAAAGTTTGAAATGCAATTAATATTGTCCAAGCCATTGGTAGAAAATCAGGACTGAAAAGATGATTAAAATTTTAAGATTAGCGAGGATATGTTTGAATGGTTACACAACGAATATAGAAAAGCTGTGCAACCAAATTAATTCATGCTGAAGTTAAGCACATTGCTGGTTAATTAAGGCCATTTTAAGTAATTAATTTTATAGCGATAAGGCGGTCTCCTTCCACAAGCTCCTCTCACAGAGGGTGAAGAACTGAAGCAGTGATGTGCAGACCAGGCAATAGAGACCTTGCTTATGAAACAACACATATCAGTCACCAGGTTAGCAACCCCTAGCTCAAAGGAACACACTGAAAACGATAATACTCTTCCACATATGCAAGGAAAGGTCAACCAAGCACATTGGGTGGGACATTTGAGAAAAGAAGGGCCCAACACTGAAGGAAACAATTACAAGATGAAGAATTACAGAATTTAAGTGTTCAAAGGGATTTCAGACGGCCCTGCTCTGACTGCCCTATTGAGCTATTAGGGCTTGAATAAATACAGCACCTAACACTTCTCCAGAGCTGAGACGTGAAACTAAGAAATGAGTCTAAGATCACACAGGAAAGAAATGACCACAACAACACTCAGTGCCGTGACCTTTCTACCACACCACAAACTCTCCAAGTCAGTTTGGGGAGTCATGAGCCAGGGTTAATGATAATGATGAAGGAACTAACAATATCACAATAAGAATGCAACAGCCTAGCAGGCACAGTGCATCTCTCACCTACCAGACACAGGCTACTGTGTCCCACTGTACCTCAAAACAAAGTGAAGGAGGCCATGATGGTATCTCTTACTCCTGGTAGGTGGGAGCAAGGCTTACAGAAGCTGTAGTGCCAATCCATCAGAAGAAGAGATAGAACCCAAGACGAGGTGGATCCCAAAGAAAACCCCTTGCCAACTAACCCAGACAGCCCTCCCAACCAGACCCCAGTAGCAAGCTGCCCACATAGAGGTGTGCATCACTATTGGTTAAAGGGATTATAACCAGAATCCTAAGCTAACTTTGGAGTTGATGCGAACATCTATGAATATACAGAAAACAAGAAAAGCCCTCTGCGTGGGGCTGCGTTACCTTCACCACTTCCCCGCCGTCGACTTTCATCAGCTGCCGGAGGTTCTGCTGCAGCAGGTTGGTGTTGGAGCGCCATTTGAGGAGCCCTAGGAGGTCCACTGCAAACAGAAAGCAAAGCTCAGCATCCCCCACAAGAACCCTGCCTCTCTCAGTCATGTGTTACATGAGGTTCTCTACAAAGCTTTTTGAAAAGAAAAATCAACCCTATTTCGAAAGGTTTGCCTGCTAAATATTTCATTACTTTGTAGCAACACACGTAACACCTAGTGCAATTGAATTCATTATTTTCAGCTACATTTACCATGGAATGATTTCCATGTTAAAGCTTTAAAGATGCATTTAAAAACCTAAAAGAGGACCGGCTTCTCCAGCCTAGAAGAGGCAGCTGTGGAACGCCACAAGGCCAAGAAGAAGCTGCCCACCCAGAAAGTTCCAGCCTGGCATCTTTTCCCAAGTGGCTCTTCCTGTTGGAGAAAAAAAGTCTAGATTTTTTAGATAAAATAACATAAAATAATGAATACAAATTCAAACTGAAGCTGCAACGTTACAGTCTTCAGAGTTATAATAACACTGAAGAGCTGAGACCGCTCCTCCACTGAGCTTCCAGCTAGACTGACAGACCTGTTTGTGGGTCTGAAGGCTGTGTTTGGGTTTGTTTTCTCTTTAATGGAGAAATCAAGGATTGAATATACTGGGTTTTAGAGGGTTAAAGGGTATTATAAAATTTGAAGGACTTTGCTTAAGGTATAAAGATGTTCTTTAAGGTGGGAAAACAGAATTCAAACCCTCTCTAGAAAAGTACATGTGCCTACACATTTTCACTTGAAGTTACATTAATATCATATCACTTGAAAAATCCAATTACCAAAGTGTATCTAATTTACCATTTATGCTCATCAGGAACCAACTTCAGCTACAGAAAATACAACCATTAGAAAGAAAAAAAAAATGACAAGATCCTAGTTAATATTGAAAGGAAAAATACAATTTGAGTGATAGGTAGGATTTCCATGAGGACATCCATTATACTTTTAGGATCAAACCACACAAAAGGTATACAGCTCCAACATTCCAAGAGACGTTCTGCAACTGGAAATTTTATCCATTTATTATGTTGCTAAATTCTAACTGAAAGTGAAATAATGAGAAAGGCTATATTCCATCTACATACTCCCAGACTTAGGGTTAAGGGAGATTTCCATCTCACAAGTGACTAGTGTTTCTTTAATGACAACCAACTAATAGCTAAACCCCATTCCTTCAAAGCTGATAGCACATGGGATATCACTGAGCTCAGATTTACATCTTGTTGAAAATTTGAGAGACAGTACGACTAAGCAAATGAATAACAGATCACCTTGGAGGAAGGGGTGTGTTAGAAAAGAACAGAGCTTTATCCAGTTCCCTCAGGGTAACCCAGTCTGACAAAGCTCTCCTTTCCCCGTGCTCTTACTCTTGGGGAATCATCACAGGTGGGCCCACAATCACTCTTTGTTTCATGACTCATCTCCCTCTAATTACACAGTAAGCTTAGGACAGGAATCACATCTTATGCTTCTTCATATCCCCCGTGGCATCCAGCATAATGCCTAGGACAGGAATGTTTAATACAAACCTCAATGAATAATTCAGCTACCATTTTTCCCTAAATGATGGAACTTCACAGCAACAAATTACAGTCTCAGAAAAAAAAAAACTCCTTCAAATAAGAATCTCAGTACTTAGATGCCAACTGGGGCAGGTTCATCTTGTACATGCCTGACGTGCTACCATCCCAAAAAGGAGCATCATCGCTGGTATGAAATGAAAGCCACAGATTTCCCCCTCTGCTTGGGTGAGCAGCATCATATCAGAATTTCCTTGTTGCCCAGCAACAGCTGCTGCTGAGACCAGGGCTCTCTCCCTGGGTACCAGTGAGGGAATCACCCTGCAACTGGTGAGATTCAAGGAGCTTAAAGGAAAAAGGAGGGATCCACACTGTGCCCTAGGCTGACTTCCTGGTTCCAGTTCTCTTTCCAGGGATACGTGGGTTCACAAGGATTCTGAATGTCTGGAGAACCTGAGAACCTAACTGCTATTCAGAACAGTGTTTTGAAGGGGAAAATATATTCTGAGTTCTAAATAACAATGTCTAGATTTACTTCTGGAGCCTGACCCACATGTAAGATGGTGACCTCCTACATAGTAAAAATAGCAAAGTGTAACAGCTCTCATTCCTCTAGCACCTACTGAAAAACTCAAGTGCCACACCTATGGGATGACGATCTACCCAGACATCTCATTTTTGCCCTGGCTAAAAAGATGCCATGAGGTCAAGCTTATGGGAACTATCGGAGTCACATCCAGAAAGCAACATTTGTTATTTGAGAGCATCCTTTTGATAACCCAGACCCAAGCTGGGGCCCACACTGCTGATCATGTATTCCATGGGCACCAAGCTTACCAGGTCCTTGCATCCTCTACCCTTCTCCTCCTGCTTATACACATCCAAAGCCCAAGGCAAGCTTTCCATGTGGTCGTGGGCGTTACTGCCTGGCCACAAACTAGGACACTTTAGAGAAGATTCAGGCAAAACATGATGAAGCAGGAACATTAGTGAAACACAGCCAAATGGCCTAAAAGCATTTCTACCCAACTGCATCCAAATGGCCAAGAGTTCATGTCAGGGTATATACAAATAGGCCTAAAGTGTTTCAGTGACTTACTGACCCACACACTAAGTAGTTGACTCATAAGCCAGGGGTGGGAGGACACATTGCCTTGTATATCTGAAAACAAGACAGCAGAGAAAGTCAGGCGGAAAAGTTTGAAAAGCATCTGGCCCAGAGTCAGCATGCCCAAACCCGTGGAACACTAGCACCTACTCTAAAATGCCAAGGCTTCCAAAAGATGGGTTTACTTTTGTCCTGCATTTATTCTACTAAAGCCCAAAGGATGCGTGGCCCTTGGCAAATCCAAAACTCCTGCCATGATTGACAGACAACTCTCTAAGATGCAATTCCTGACAGCAACAGACATTAATAATCACAATCCATATCGGCCAGTTAAGAGGAAAAAATTGGATTTTCAAGCTCAGTTTCAAGAGAGCATAAAGTCACTCTGCACAGCTGTGATGCGGTCACATTAGGGGGATGCAATGTTTAAATGAAGGATTTGTGCAGAAGAGCTTCTACCTCCTCCAGACAAGTGACAGCAAGAATGCCCATGTGCTCTGAATAAGAAATACCATAGCTGGATGGCAATGTCCCTGGAGAGGCTACAAGCAGTAGCAAATGAACTTATGCAGCCCAGGGACACTAGGCGCCAGCTGATGAGTGACCTGCCACATTAGGCTGAGCTTTGTGTGCATGAATCAGCAAGGGCACTTATCTCCCACCACAAGGGGACAAGAAAATGTCAGGCACACAAACTTTTCAAAGGAAAGATAACTGGTAATTATCTCAAGGAGTAGCTAAGACAGGGGAAGACACAAAGAGGGTGGGTCCCTTTCATCCTACCCTTAAAAGCCCTGAAGGCAGGCATTATGCTCACATGTACACGTTCAGGGGTCAAGGTCTTTCCCAGGGTTAACACAGGACCAGAGTTTAATCCCAGGTATCTGGTCTGGCTAAAAAATCATGCATTTTCCCTTATGTTGTGCTCCTTTCCTTGGGAGGAAGCTGATTGCTTTGTGTCCCTAACCCTTCAACCAAAATTCGTGTGTGAACTGAAATTATGATAGACGTCAGTGCCTCTTTCCTAGCCCATGGACATCCACACGGGTCATTACCAAGGACAGAACAAACAATACATACTATACATCCTAACACAAAACTCATCCACTGGACAAGCAGCTAAAAACGATGGGGTTGAGGGAAAGGATTTCCAGGGTGAGTGTGTTCCTATTCCCAGGCTCACCATTCTGGGTCAGTTTGGTGGAGCACACCAGTGTGGAGATCTGGAAGGAATCTTTACTGATGGTGCAGCTCCCAAGACTCTGCATGCTCTTGCCTGTGGCTGAGTGACCCTTCTCCTCCAACTCTGCTTTCGTGGAAGGCAGACTCAGGTACGTCGCTGCGTCTTCCAGCTTCTTGGCTTCAGCCTGTGGGTTTGGTTAGGCAGGATGTCAAACAGCAACACGCCATTTTTTCTATGCATTGGTATCCTTAACCCTTTTCACCATCATGATATCTGTATTTTTTAATACTGGGTTGCATAACTTCCCTTATTTCTGTAGATTAATTCATGTCCACAACCGTTTTGTAAAGCACCACCGTCTCTCATTACAAACAGCAAAAGGGCTGGTCATCACAAATATTCAGGCACATAACGAAATGCAGGTAGATGTGTCAGCTCAGCTCAGGCTGCCCAAAGAGGACTGAAATGGCCCATGATAGCGTAGAGTGACGTGACATACCTTGTAGACGATAAGGTCATGCTCCCCATCGCGGAGAGTGGTCCCATCGTATCGCATCAGCTTCACAAATGCTAGTGCAAATATTTTCTCAGATTTATCCTTAGCTGCAATAAAAAACAATAATCATCTCTAACTATGGCTGTGACAAAATGATATTATAAAGTGCTACAAAGGGATACCTTTATGAAAACAATTACAAAATTGTACGGATGGATGTCAAGTTCAATCAAAAGATAGAAACGGACCCCATTCATTCACCCACAAGAAGACTCTGCCACAGAGGGATCAGTTGAGAAATCCCATCCCTTCTTCCCTTGGCTAGCTTCTGCTCTAGGGTGACAGGTGGCTTGTTTTGGGCCAATGGAGGCCAACATGGCCTCAATCCTTCCTCTGACCCAGGAGAGGTCCTCAGGTCACCCTCTGCAGCTAATATCCCAGGATCTCATCAGCATAACACTTTCTAGGCTCACCTGTCTCCAGAAACCCCCCCAGGCTGTGACCTTGGAGACTTCATTAATTATACAAATGCTGTTCCTGTGTTGGGTGATAGCATCTTGGCTTTAATGAGCACTTAAAACTAACAAGAAAAACAAGGATTTTGAAAATTAAAATGCTAGAGAAGACATCCTATGCTGCCCCAGCATAATTTGTTAATTATGGAAAGTGACCTTGTTAGAAAGATAGTGTGTGATTTTGACATAGTGCTGTGTGGAATCTAGAACTCGGTCCCCACCCTATTCCTCCCTGGCCCCTGAGAGTCAGCCCTCCACTTCTTGGCTAAGACACACTTACGCCCAGAGTCTCCCCTTTCACCAAAGTCAGTCTGCACACCTCTGCTATCTAACATCAATGTCCTGGGCTGCCCTTCCCTAGTTGTTCCTTGTAAACTAACCTCTTGCCTCCCTGTTGTGTATACAAGAGGTGTTACACTTAGCCCAGGTAAAGGAAGTGACCTTGCCACTCCCTAGAGAGAAATACAAGGCTGAGTCTGAACCAAAACTCTTCACTAACTATTCGAGTGATGCAATAGTACAAGTCCAAAAGGAAGAAAAGAAACCAAATGAGGAGTGAGGAGAAACCACCCGCCCCATAGAGCCAAGGGAGGGCAAGAAAAAAATGAAGCTCCCCTGAGACCTGCTGGCTAACACTGCCCAGCAACAGGTTCAGGTGGAAATGAGTGAAGGAGTTGAGACCTCAGAGTGTGTGACAACCAAATCCTAGAGCATTCCAGAACAGGTAAAACCCTCTGAGCTTCTGCCAGAAAAACCATGGTCTTTTACTCACAGTCCTGTGACGATCTGTGGCGGAAGGTAAATCGAAGGTGACTCCGGTTAACATCCTCAATGGGGATAGCCACCTTGAAGAATGAAAAAGGGAAGTGTGAGCTCCTCTCCCAACATCTTCTAGCACAAACGGCTTTATTCAGCTGAGGTAACTGGGTCCAACTGCAAACATTTTAACACTGCAGTGGTGAAAATACCAAATATCTAAACCCTGATATAACTTTTTCAAAGGCAAAATGTCTTTTGAAAACTTAAAACAAGATAATATTGTAAAGGATGCCAAGCAAATTGGTGCCCACCTGGATTTTTTTTTTTTTTAAACTTTGAATCCTTACTGTAAAGATCCCATTTTTGAAAGTTACTGTCTTGGTTGTGAGCCCAACACGAAGATGTCTATATTCTTTCTGTGGCTACTGTAAGAAAGCTTTCTTGCTGACACATTACGATGAAAGGAAAAGACCTTATGCATGCTGCCTGTAAGCAAGGACTCCCTAACTCGCATATCTAACATCTGTGTTCCAGAGCTGACCCTTGGCCTGGTTTTCAAAGATGCAAGCACTTGGTGGTAGGGGGTGGTTACTACCATGGACTACTGTGGAGCTGTGAGTGTTACATGAGGAAAACACTCAGTGTGAATGACACAGGTACCAGATCACCAGCAATCACCTCCACAGACTGGCATCCTTGCTTCTTCCCATTTGGGGTCAAGGCAGCAGGCCACACATAAAACAGACCCAAGGAGAGAGAAAGACAACAGCAATCTTTAAAAGACTCCATCATTCTTCTTCCTGAAAGTCTTATTTTTACATCCAAAAAGAAGATGAGGGTAAAATATTCCAAGAAATGCCAGAATAGTTCCTTAGCAACCCTGAATGACTTTGTTGGAGACAACCTAGCTCACTTGAGGCATCAGCAAGAGACCCTGGGGGCTAGGTGGGAGGTATGGTTTCCATGGGATATGATGAACATTTCATCATCAACCCCTGGTGACAAAGTAACCATGGAAATACCTTAACAGTCTCAAACCAGCGTGGCTGCTTCACTTGGTAGTAAATCACAGATTTGTACTCTGAGATTGCCTCGTCACCAGCACCCGGGAAAATCACGTGCTTGAAAAGAATGCATAAAGAGTTCGCATAAGACTGCAGAAGATTCACCATGTCCCAGTATACACCCCTGCTACACTTGTCAGAAGGAGAAGAAACAATCCCAAGAGTGTCAATGAACCATCGCACATGGACAGTGTTCCCAGAAAAGGAGGGACAGGTCCACCTAATGTCAGCAACAAGCCTAGACCTTGGTCTCAGACACGATGATCCTAACAGTTTGAGAATGGGAATGACGCTTGTGCTCCACCCTTCCTCCTCTCACCCAGTCACTTTAACATTAGGATCTGCAGATTTAATTCATTCAGTAGGCCTAGAATAAAGGGCTGTCTACCAAACAGGGGTGGCAAACCTCCCTCCAATCCTTCTAGCTGAAGCCATACTGGTAAAGCCCTGGAGTTAAGGGCAGCACCTCATGCTTCAAGAGAGACAGATGGACACTGACACTAGACAAGGACATCCAGGAAAAAATGGTGCTGTACACCTGCTCTACACAGCTAAGTCCCAGACCAGATCCCAGGCCACTGCTCTCCAGCCTGAGTCCGCAGAAGTACCTGCTGTGATCATCACAGGCCACAGAGCACCCTGCTGGCTGCCACAGCCACAGAAATATGGTCACCACTGGGGAAAGGGAGACACAAGGTCACAGCTCAGGCTGCAGTGGTCAGAGGCTCAGATTCCAACCCCAAGTCCACCTTTGAGTCTGACCTCAAAGTCTCCTTTCCCTCATCTCAAATGATTATAATAACGGTGTCTGTACTTCCGGAGTCACTGCTAGAACTTTGGGCCTTGGAATTATTATGCCAGAAAATGAGACTCCCTGATAAGGCTGGGCACAAAACATGGTCGAAATACACTGTGATTGCCTGGGACAGGCTGGTGGCCAGGACCCAGAGGACAGGAAGGCAACTGGAGAAAGGGAGGGCAAGCCAGTGCTTATCTAGGAAACAGAATGACACGGTCCATCGAAGGTACCTTGGGTTCTACAGCAGAACCAAGGGAGACACTTGCAAAGTAAAACTTGAACCCTCCCAGATTAGACTTGGCAACAAGAAATACCTCCAATCGTTTCCCATCTTCGTCATAGACAGACACTGTCACCTCGACGTTCTTTGCCGTTGTTTTGCTGCCTTTATCAAAATCTCCTTGCACTAATGTTACATAGATATCATTCCGAACATCACCTGGGGGAAAAATAATACCTTTAATATCAGTCCATTATTCACAATGTAACCATGAATTTGCAAAACTAAGGCGCCACCTACGTCGGCAGAATGTTATAAATACCGTATTAGATAATTAGAAATACTGGCTATGAAACACTCTCAGCATTTAAAGGCATGACAAAAGGCAATTTGCATCATCATCCTACCACTTGCTGGAAAGAAGCAACATTTCAAAGGCTGGAATCATCCTCTGGTTCCTCACCCAGGCAGAGGAGTCTCTTCTCTGTACCTCTGTGACTAGCCAGTGCCCACAGTGGGCACAGTGCTGCTGATGAGGCTAGAAGGCCCCAGCCCCTATCCACAGTGGGTGACCCACACTGCCGGGTGCAGTCACCTAAGTCCTCAGCAGCCAAGGAACATCACAAGTCAACTGGTACAAGCCAAGAAAAGAATAGGCAGCATCAGCCTCCTCTGCATTCTCCTACAGGCACAATTCCAGCAATTGAACTAAAAGCTGATTAAGAATTAGAACTACACACCTAGGAGCAGGGACAAAGGATAAGCCACAAGAGAAACTTTCTGCACAGCTCTTCAACTCTAGCAAACAGCTGTTAGGATCCCGAATGGGGACCACTGAGAGAAGATGGAGAGCAAAGCAGACCAGCACATTTTAAAATAAGATGGACCTTTAATTGTGGGGAAAAAAAATTAACAGCAAATGAACTCAACACTTCTTCCTACTGAGAACATAGGAGGCCCCTGGTAATGGTGCGTTTGGGAAAACTTCACAGGCTTCGTTAGCAACATGATTTAGAGGAAGCATCACTGCCTGGTGACTGCTCCTCTGCCTCCTGCCTGGCCCCCTTCCATGCCAGACCCGGATCTGCCTGGGAGATTAGCAACCGTCTGTCAGGACCAGCAAGGGGCCCACTCTGGCTAAAGGATAAGACTCCTTAAGGAAAACATGCCTTCTCTTGTTTGCTTGGTTTTTTCTTTGACTTTTTCTTAACTGTTCTAGTTTGGCTTTTAATGTATCCAACTATAAAATTAAGCTTTCATTTAAAAGTCATTATTATAATAGTCCCAGTGGGTTGCTCCCACAGCCACAGTGGCTGCTAGGGAAAGAAAGCTTGGCTGCAATCGCAGATACTGCCCACAAGAGAAACTAGGAAGAATGGAGCAAGGGACAGGGGGCAGGAGGCAAGACAACTTGTCCAAGCCCACCACCAATCAGCTGTGTGACCTAGGACACACACATCCCTTGACCCCCATGGCCACCCACCACTAACCAGCCTCATTGGTGAGGCTACATGATCTCTCAGCCTGAAAATTCTTACAAAGCACAAAAATCATGGTCCTATACTCAGGGGCTACAGCACCTTCCTAAAGACCTCATCAGCCAGAGATATAATAGGGGCTCAGGGCAATGAGGGGATTAAACCCCATGGCCTCACTCCCATGTTCACCTAGCAAATGGCTTTCTGGGTCTGTCCCAGAAGTAAGAGCACATTTACAGTACATAACCCCTACAGATGGATATCACAGAAGGCCTTTAGCAAATGCCTCCTCTGGTTACAGGGCTCTCATTCTGGGAGGAAGGAACTAGAAATGACTGAAGGTGGACACCAGCCACCTTTTCAGCTCAAAAGAAAACACAGCTTCCTCGCTTCCTCTACCTGGATCTTTCAGAAGGGCTCCAGAATGACAGTGGGTCATGAGAAGGTAGAAGAGCCAGCACAGGGGTGACATGACAAGCTCCTCCATTGTGCAAAGAAAATGCCTGTCTCCACAAGACAGACGGCAAAAGAGGCATTGCACAGGATCTGCTGGACTAATGCAGGAGCTCTGACTAAAAAGTGTTCCTCATGTTTCTTGTGCCCACAGCCTGGCCAGTGACTACTCACCTAACAGAGACTAGGGATGACTTGCTCCAGCTAGAATCCCTCTCTGGGAGACCCATTAGTACACTGAACGTTCCACAACACTGGTCAGCTGTATGGGTTCCCCAAGAACTATTCATGGTATAACTGAAGAGAGATCAATTGTAAGAGAAACGCACCAACGTGAACCGAAGTTTACTGGGTTTCCCTTTGAATATGAAAGCATCCTAAGGCACCCAGATAAATGTACAAGATCAAATTCAAGCACAAAGTCCAAGTGCAAACAACAAGTACACGAACTAGTCTACTTCCATTAACAAATCTGAGTTGATCTGATGATTAGAGACCCAACATACAGAAGCAATACATGCCCCACAGTGTCACAGTGGGCTAACTGTCATACTTTCCCTACAGAGGTGATCCTCAGTGTTATCCAGTCTAACAGATTTTAGATGGTTGTCATGTAGATTTACCTGACAAGGTATTCAATAACCCACAAGAGCCCTGAAAGTAAAGCACACACCCCATGGGTTACAAGAAAATAAGAACACCGATGACTTCCAGCACACACGGAATAGCCATTCTTTCTGCCAGTGTACAGCAAAGGACTACAAAAGGAGGCCACATGTGACTGTTGAACACATATCCACTATTCACTGACCATGCAACATGAGGCTCTGTTTTAATTTTGATAGGAATTAGTTCAACACCAATTTGCAGACTCCCAAAAACCTTACATGGATCAACTTAGATTATTAATGTAATCATTATTCACAAAACAAAAAGTAACACTTGGGTACAAAGGATAAATAACATGCTTTCAAGATCTGGCAATCAAAACAAATTGCTAACATGACTGTTATGTGGAAACTGGACAGTATCATTAAATGTAAGAGATGCATTTTAACAGAATACCAACACCAATGCATGCAGTTAAAACACATGCCTGGGCCAGTAAGATAACAGACACTCGCTGACCAAGTGTGTCTATGCACTGTCATAGTCCTAACCCTGCCATTGTCCCATGGTGGCTTCATGCTGATCAGATAGGCGACTCCCTATCTGATCCTCCTTCCTTCTTTTGATCAGATTACTCAGACATTTGTTGGGTGTTCATGCATCCCACACATGACCCTTGCTACTATGGGGTAAGCAAATCCTACAGGGGTCCAAGTGACCAATGTGCATCCCCACCAGTCTGGTTGCAGTCCCCCACCACCAGGTTAATCCTTAATCATCCTGGGGCTTAAACGTCACCAGCCTCCCACTCCGTGCTCTGTCCTTGCCAGTCTTGCACACATTGTTCTTTGTGGCTGGCTATATCTACATTGTGCTCAGAAGTTCTGAACAAGTCAATCCTTACCAGGCATGATAATTTCCGGAAACCCTGTTTTTCGAGCCACAGCTGTGGTCCTGTCCACCAAATGAGGAAACTCTTTTCGAATCTGATGGATATCTCCAGGAAGTAATTTCAGTGTTACCCACAAACCTGGAAAAACAAAAGATGCCTAAGTCACCTTTTATCTTAGACATTTTTAGAAGTTTTCACAAAAGCAATTTCTGTGAGTGAGCAACTTTTAATTCACAGTTCAACATGTTAGAAGAAACACAGAGTCAGATGTCCAGGCAAAAGGTGATTGGCAAAGGGGTGCAATCTGCATCCAGTAAGCCAGGATACAGATCTTCTCTAGGAGTAAAGAAAGGACAGGTGAATCCACACAAACAGCAGATGCACCTAGGACCAATGGCCCTTTTGAACTGATATACATTCAGGATAACTCAGAAGGTGGCATTTATATGGGAGTGAACTGAAAAGGCTGTCGTTTTCCAGCCTCCTGGGAGGATAACATCAGGGAGAACTCAGACAATGAATGTACAGCTTTGAGAATCCAGGAAACTCTCATGCTGCCCGTGTGAGCAGTGAGGTTGTGGGGTGTGAGTGGCCAGCCCCATACAACCTGGGACAGTACACCTCACAGAGCCAGTCCTCTGTGACACTTTCACAACACAAGAGGAGCTAATGCTCCGCTGCCATCCAGTTCTCCCCTCCCCACGAGGAAAAGGCAGACTTCCCAGCCCACTAAACCCAGATGCAAAGTACTTCCTGGAACAAGCTTGGTGACCTGTGGGGCCTGAGTCTCCCGCCATGGAGCTGATGGATTGCTGAATGGATCACTGTCCCTGAGCACCACTTACACTCAGGCAGCAGAATGAGAGGGGAAAGCAGACACATGCAACACATCAAAGGCAGGAGACAAAGCAGGCCCCTGGCTCCACCAGGTGTTTGCAAGGACAGCACCTATCCTCATGTGGGAAGGGAGCATCACTGTCAGCTACCACATGGGGCACTCCATCCCTGAAGCCATAGGACCTGGCCTGCTGCTCCCCAGCCACTCAGCTCTGTGAGGAGCCTTGTATCCATCAGTGTGTTGGCCTCTGCCTACGTCTGTGTGTCTGTGTGTCTCTGCATGTGTGTCTTTAGGTATGAACATATGTGCATCTGTATGTCCAGCTGCATCTCTGTGTGTGTATTTTGCATCTGTGTATAGATGTGTTTGTGTCTCTGCGCAAATATGTGCAGCTGTTCCCTCTCTGGATACATCCAAAGAGCTGGAGCCAGTCATCCATCAATGCCTATCTCAGGATCCTGCATTCAGTAGAAGAAAAATGAAAAAAATCACAGGCCTTGTCCATAAGCAAGTTGCATTCTATGTAGCACTGGAAGATGTTCCACTGGTACACACAAAGAGTGCCACTTTCAGCTAGCTCTGCTTGCTTCACCTCCTACCCCTTGTCCTACCCTTTAACAGCTGCCCTGGAGACATCCTTTCCACTCACAAAGATGGACATCACTTGTGGTTGAGAAAGCCAAAAGTCACTGACAACATTTTGTCCTTTGTTAGCCAGTAACTCCCCATGTCCTGCTATCTAGTGAATCTTCTACTTATTCACAAGTATGTAATGAGCACCTACTATGTGCTAGACACTCCCTGGCACACAGGAACTATTGCCCTGCCAGTGACTGAAGTTTACTGCAAGGGTCACCACTAACTCCAGGGCTCCTCGGAGACACATAGTGCACGTAGGAGGAGATGAACTGGGCAAAGCACATCCCTGACCCATATTCCAGGGGTTGCAGTGGCTCCTCCAAGGAAGAAAAATTGGGGCTGAGATCTGCAAACAGAGAAGGAATTGCAGGCCTCTGCCCAGCCCAGCGGACTGCATCAGGAAGGCCGGCCTTAAGTCCATCTGAGGGACATTGGGGAGGCCCAGAGGAGTTTCTCTGAAGTGAGTCCAGGGTGTGACTGATGATACCCTGGTGGCTGTATGGGAATGGGTAGGTGAGAGTTAATAGGAAAGTACCCAGCAGGAAGATCCCTGCAGGAGCCCAGGGGAACACTGGTGGGACTTGAACTCAACTATGGGGAGTACAGGTAAAGAGACCAGTGTGGAGGTCAAAATGGCAGAATTGTAGTAACTGGAGTGGGAAAAAGGGCAGCTCTCCGAGAGTGTCTGCTTCAGGCATGGCCACTTCTGGAGCAGGAAAGCCTGCTCCTGGGGAAGTTCTTAAGGCGATCAAGAGCAGGGCGATGAAGAAGAGTGTGCTGAAGTATGTGTGGGGGATCAGGCCCATTCAGAGCTCACACTGGAAGAACCCAGAGAGAACAGGAAACACTAGGAATACCAAAGTGCTAAACCCACCCATTGGAAGGGAGTGTGTGAGGAACTGAGCAGCCAGGACACCTCTGAGGACCTCAGCAAGAACCATCCTAATAGAAGGTGGAGAAGAAAGACACAGCTGAGAGCAGAACAAAGAGGAAAGGAGGACTCCAGAGAGCTGAAATGAGAAGATGGCACATAGTCAGCATGCAGAGACACACAGTGTTTGGGGCAGGATTACTTTGGGGTGTTTCCTTTCCTTTCCTTTTTTTTTTTTCCCTTTCCTTTCTTTCCAAGATACAGAATCTCCAGTATGAAGGAGAGAAGCATATTCAACAAAGTCCCTTAAGATTATCAGGGGATGGCACCAGACAGGGGTACATTTTCCATGCTCAGGATGGACCAAGGTACTGACAAAGAAAAGTGAATAAGAACCTACATTTTCTCACCATGCCATATGGCCCAGACACTGGGGCCCCTTTACCTAGTTTATACAAAGTACCCCAATCTAGCAGCAGCTCTGAACCTGCCGAAGAGGAAAGCAAACAGACCCTTGATGGACTGAGCACTTCTCACTCAACCCTGGCTCTGTCATGCAGTGAGCAAACAAAATTTAACAGCATTAACATCAGAAGAAATTCTTGCCCTGTAGACACATTTCCTTCCTTAGAAATACCACCTTGTTCAAATATCTGTTTTCACAACCTGGAATATTAGTGACACGATTCAATTCCTTACAATGCAATTTAAATAAGGAGATTAAATTTTCGTGATTACAATGAGTTTAAAACACTTTCCTCACAGGGGAAAATTAAGCCAATTTTCACCAAAATAGAAGTGTGTTTCCAGTTGACATCTGCTTAACCAGAAGAACTAAAAACAGAAAGATTGGGCATTCATGATGTCACCATAATGGAAGCAGCTATCCGTGGGGCTGAGGATTCACTGTTCCCATAAACACCCAGCACCTCTGGCTCAAGGATCAGAATAATTTGAGCTAAATATAAAATGTAGCTCGATGGTGGAGTGCTTTCCTAGCTTTTCCATGAGGCCCTGGATTCAACACCCAGCACCAAAAATACATATGTAAAGACTTTGACTTATGACAAGGAAATTTGTTGGAAGAAACCTAGTATAGGCCAAGGTCAGGGGTGAGCTCATACAAAACAGAGGAACACATGGAGGGGTGCAGTGTTTCCTCTCTCTCCCCCATCCTGGGTTCCTGGACTATGTCTCAATGGAAGAGCGGGAGTCAGTGTGAGCCTGGCCACTGCTGACGAAAAAGCAGAGTCCCCAGACAAAGCCCAAAAAAGCCCCACAGCAATTCTGTCTCAAACTCCCTGGATAAATCTCCCTCAACTTTCCCTGGAATGACCTGGATTTCGCTTCAGAGTGAGCCCTGGAGAAAGGTCCAAGGCCAAGTAGAAAGGTCTAGTGATGTTTGTGGTCCCCTTGATAATACTATCACTCTTCCTAGCTCTCAGTTCTCACTGTGACCTGAAACCACCCTCACCCCATCCCAGTACCTCACGGCACGAAGCCAGGCATCAGTGCCATCATTTTCTAGCTCACAGATTTTTGGCTCTGACATTCCTGAGCCTGGCAGAGGCAGGCTTCCGGGCCTCTTTTTGAGTAGTTTCCTGCTGGCCTGACACAATTCCCACTTCTCCTTGTGACTCTGCAAACAAATGCTCAACCGGACTCAAAAAAGCTGCAAAAGAAATTGGAAATCCAAGGGGGCCCTGCTCCAGGGCTGAAGGATCAGCCAGAGCCTGAAGCAACTGGCTCCCAGCCTGGGGGTGGTTCTAGTCTAAACAGCTGGGACTGCATCTCCCCAAAGCTGTCAATTAAAGTTTGAATGGGAACTTTAATTTACAAGGGGATAGGGCCTGGGTCAGCTTAAACTTGCTCCCTGTGCAGAGGCCATGTTCCTTGAGGATGCAGTTTTGTTCTGCTATCGTTAGCCAAGGAGGAGGATGGTTCATACCAGTTGAGGGTCCCTGCAGAGTCCTAGAAGAGTTTTTTCTCCAGAATATTCTTCTGACTCATTAACACTCTCCTGAGAACAATGGAAAATGAATGGAGATTTTTTTTTTTTTTTTTTTAAAGCTTGGTAACTGAAGGCAGCTATCCATCTGAGCTCCACTGAACTCACAGTGTATCTCCTCGGATTGAGGACTGGTTCAGAGTTTGCCTACATGTTAAAAGCAGGGCTGGAGCACTGAGGCTCTGAAGGTGACTCCCTTTGGTCAGGCAGGAGCAGGCCTTCATAAACAGTTGTTTTCTGGCTGCCCTTTTGGCCAACTTGCAACCAACCTAGTGCCAACTGTCACTAGCCTAAGGTGATTGATTCATTAGCTCTGCCAGCAGGTCAGCTGTTCTGACATGTAGGCATAGGATTAAAATTTATGCATACAATATGGGAGTGAGGAAGGAGAAGTCACTTCCATGACACAGTGGCAGGGAAGCAAGGCCACACAAATGAAGCCACTTTCCCAAAAGAACAGAGGGGCAACTCCAAAGACAACATAACAGTGACTGGCACAGGCCCTGGGTGAGGACAAACAGGAACAAGAACACATGTTTCAGGGAGGGGGCGTTTTTGAATGTCTCATTGTTTCTCTAAACAGTTGGTAGGCAGGGGCTGTATTCGAGTACATTTTAAAAGGTGAGGTGAGAAGAGGAAAGGGCTGGAGAGGCCAAACAGGCAAAGGCAACAGCTACTTTGAGGCTAATCAGCTCTGGGCTCTTCCCCGACATCCAGCTGGGTCTCACTCAGTCTTCCACTCTCATCTGGAGGTCAGCTCTCAGCAACACTTACAAAGGCAATCAGCAAGAAAACCCATGCATGCTGTCCATAGTGGGGACAAGCGTTAATATTCTCAACCCTGTTGTCACCATCCACATCTAACTGAAATGCAAACTGAGACAGCACCACTCCAAGTTCACATAAACACACATTGCACATTTATAGAAACAAAACTATAAATACATACCCTGCCCCTTGTGGTTGACTTCTTTGGCAGCGATGACTTTGTTAATAACAGTCTGAAGGAAGTCATTCTCCCCTGCCACCCTGGGTGAAAAACGGGATGACATGTTCAGCGGCTTGTGTCGAATGGCGTCGTCCAACGTGAGCCTGGAGGGCACGGGACGACCAAGACCACAGGAGACAAAGGGGCACAAAGACCCATGGGTCACGGTAACAGGGGAACACAAGAAAGCATCATCACCAAGTGCGAGAGAGTCATCATGAGTCAACGCACGACAGAGGGCAGGATAGGTGACAAGAGAAACAGGGAAAAGCATCGATCAGGAAAATGCTGTACCACGAGAGAGAAGTCAGGCAAATGAGGGCACCCCCACTCCCCAGGAAACATGTACACCCGGCCTCCACTCCACTTCTACTGGACAACTGAAAGGGACTGGTCTGAAAGTATGGTGGCTGAAAGGCCTCTTATACGAAAGCAAGCTTATGACCACTTCTTCAATTTCAATAGCCCAGAAATAGCCTAGGTCAAGAGGCAGTTTATGAAGGGAAAAGCAAAATTAGGAACCCAACCCCCTCCCCCAGAAAAGATCCCTCCAACCTAATGGTTTGGGGAAGCTTTGCATTCTGCCCCTTCACACTGTATGCTCAACAGGACCTCAGATGACTACATGTGGGAAAGACTAAATGTGGAGAACAGAACTAAGGGTCACCATGTCCAGACACCATTAGGAATGCAAACCACCAGGGTTTTCAGGGCCCATAAACCAGGAGCCTTCTCAGATGCTGTGCTGTACAAGAGAAAGAATCCAACCAGGCAACACCATGAGCACAATGGAAGATGAGGAAGAAAATATACATCGTGTACAAAACATTTAAAATCAGTTGTGGAAAAAAGGATAATGTACCCATCAATTGAGCCACAAACTCAAGGGAGCTGAGGGCTGTTTTAATTTACTTCACTGAGAGAGAGAGAGATGTACACTGAACTTCCTTCCCTAAAACAAACCCTGCGAGATAATAAATCAGTTTTAATGGAGCAAAAAACAGTTTCATTAGCGCGACATTTCCCAAAGAACTGGTTTCATTGCTTATTTTGCTATTAAAATCGTGCTGCTCTTTTGTTGCTAACCCTGCAAATATTAATCTGCATATTAGTCTTCCTTTAATGGAACAAGAGTCACAAATTACATAAGAGATAAGTGTGTACTAATATATTTTTTAAGTGGACATTCACTACAAGATACAAAAAGATGGTGGCAAAGCACACATTCCATGTACTTATCACAAATCCTGGGAAAACCATGAATTTAAAATTGGTAACCAACCAAAAAGCATTTTTTGGTTTTTTTTCTCTTGACTTTTCACAGAGGACTCTAAGAAGCAATAGGTAATTTCAACTTAGTAGTACATTCAGGCATTCAGAAATCCCAATGTTTAATATATAATCTAGCCCTAGGAATAGTAGGGACCACATCATTTCTCGTGGACATGAAACAACTTAGTATTGCAATTTTGCAAAAGTATATTTTACTTATCAACTCATCGTCTGTCCATGTTCCAAGACCATGTTCTCCTTGTCAGGAAGAAGCTTCTGGATTCTGTAGAAATGCACTCCCTTTATCAACTTCTTCACTGGGCGGGATTCCAAGGCAGTATTACCCACCATAACTTTCTTCAGTGATGAAACTGTGCTAGCTGTGTACTGCCCAATATGGTAGCCACCAGCCCATGTGGTACTGATCACTTAAAATGGGACTAATGGGATTGAGAAGCTAATTTTTCAGCCCTACTTAAATTTAATTAATTTAAATTTAATCAATTTAAATGGCCACACAGGCTAGAGGTTGCCATACTAGACAAAAAAAGCAAATTGAAAGTATGTAAGCCACAAAAGACCTCTGCTTCCAGTTGTGCATGGTAAAATAAAATATATGTAACTTGACCCTGACTTCAAGCTAGATAACGCAGGGTTTTATGCTATCTTCTTGTCAAGAAAATTACAAAATCTTCTACCAAGCCACACAAAAAGCCTTTGGCTGCTGCCTAACTGGGTCACCTGCCCTGCAAGAAAGCTACATTGCGCCCATCATAAAGGAGTGACTGACATATTGGAGGGGGAGGGGACAGAAGAGGTGGTTCATCAAGAAGGACACATGGCACAAAGGGAAGACGATGTCATGTCTCCTGACCCACAGGAACAGGGCTGCTGCAGACACCAGCCTCCTCAGCCACAGTCAAAAACAATGTAAACTTAATAAAATAAAAATTTATTTCAAGCCAAACTCCCTCAAATAAAAATAAGAATAAAAATAAAAAAACAAAGACAGAAGGGAAACGCAAAGCACCGTGACAGGTCACTCTAACTCATACATTTATTCTTCTAAGATTTCACACCCCTGCAAGGAGGCTGTTTCTTATAACTAACCTGAAGCATTGCAATTCTAATTCCTCCTTTTTGAGGGAAGAGTGTCCCTGAAGTAGCCAAAGACCATGATCTAGACACCCTCTTGCTTCAGTGACCAGGAAAATAAACAGCAATTCTGTCCAGCTGTTTCCATGGGGTCTAGCTTCAAATCAGAGAATCAATTTAACAAATCTTCCCCCAACTGCTTCCCCATGTCTCCTGTCCCTCTGTAAAGATATCAGGTCAGAGGTAGACAGGGTCTAAAAATGAGAAGCACGTATGTAGTCTACTCTGAGTAAAACGGAGACAGAGAAACCAGCAGTGTGACTATATGCTTTAAAGTATTATGTCTCACTTTCACAAAAGCATTCATCATTATTTTGTTGGCTTTCTGTTTCAAAAGGAGCAACTTCTTAAGATGAATTTAAAAGTGTTGTGTTTTGAAAATGTGAATTGCTACAGGATAAATCAATTATGTAAAGAAACAGTCACACTCAGGGCAGAATTGTAATTCTTCTCCTGATAAGGTGAGCACAGTAAAATCGACTCCCAGAACCATAAACAAACTTTAACCCAGGATTACTACAGCTACCAAAAAATTCCTTGTGCTATGGCAGTGACTAAAAAGATTATTTTACAATAATAATCTTGGGCTTAATGCATAAACTTAATTTTAAAGAAATTATTATACATATAGCATTCCCATGGCACTTGAATTGCTTAATACTTACGGCTGAAAGGGAATGAAATGCTGCTTATCTTCGTCATCTACTTTTCCATTTATTATATCTGTTACATCCATCACTGGGGATAAGAAAAAGAAAAGAGATTGTTTTTGCTTAAATGTTGCAATTACAGAATGCCAGCATGAGTTGGAGGGTAAGCAGAATTTTCTTACTTTCTTAATTTTCTCAAGTCTAAATTATTCCACATTTGAAAGACAAATGAAGTCATCTGAAAATGCTGCCCCATGGAGTTGGGGCTCAAATGGCAGAGTCCCACCAAACTTTTTTCCTGTACCTATCACCCAGTTATCACTCTGGAGCTGCAATACCCAACAGTAAGTTCTGTCCTGTGATAAAGGAAATATTCTCTAACTGTGGACACCTGACCTGGGACACATGTGACAGAGGAAATGAATTTTTTTGCTGATTTCATTCATTTTAATTTAAATAGCCACATACAGCAAGTGGCTACCCTACTCAAAATAACACAATACCCCAATAATAACATAATAAACAATTATGCCTACAATTTACCAAGCCCCCCCAACATGCTGGTGTCTGTAGATGCTGGTTTGACAGACCAAAAGCAAAGCCTCAGTCACTTGCTGTGCAGCTGAGAAGACTGAGGTTCATAGACAGGAATGAAAGCACATCAAAGTCACCGAGCTGGAATGCCTCCAGTGCCCAGGCTCTGTCTGCTTCATTAAACTGCCTCATGTGCATTCCCTGAGTGGTCCAGGCTCACAACATCCCAGGAAGGCTAATAAACTCTGTACCATCTCTATAAAGAAAAGATATCCCCTGGTAGTATTCAGGAGCTCACCCAGACTTATTTTCTAACTTCCCAGCAAAAAAATCCTTTTGCCCTTGATCGTAACAAGCAGAGAAAGAAAACCCAAAAATAACCCTAGAGGGTGCTGGACATATCCAGTGTCTCTTCACCTCTGTCTTTCCTGGAACACCACACCTAGCTAAAGGTAAGAGCTCTTCCCTAGTGATGAGCATCATATACTGAAAATGTAAACAAGTTTCATTTCTACATCTTGACCCTCAAAAGGGTACAGAGTCTATAGGGCAAGAAAAGCAACACACCTATCCCCTGCTTGGTGTGGTAAAGGCCAAGAGACTACATGGTTTATCCCAAGGGAAAACTGTCCACTGTCTTCTCTCTCTCTGTCTCTCTCTCTCTCTGTCTGTCTCTCTCTCTCTCTCTCTCTCACACACACACACACACATGCTACACTGAGCCAATGGGAATATTGACCAAAGAGCCTACAGACACGGTCAGAGATCCAGATCAAAGAATCCCAAAGAAATTAGAACGTCAGGTAATGGCTGCTCAGAAAACGAGTGGGCACAACTCCGGTTGTCACCTGGTAGACTTTCCCAGCTTTGAGCACCCATAGGGGTGACTAGTACCAAATCCACACTCACATGTTGTTAAGTTACCCATGTACCCAAGCCTACATTTTCACCACCAGTTCGGAACCATGAAATAGAGTTCACTTTAGCACCAGCCCATTCAACTAGCTGGCCATGGCCAGGGCAAAGTTGGTCTGAACCAAGCAGACCATCCACAGAACAAAGGCCACAGGGACGGCCTTTCTGTGTGTCTGTAGTGCCCTCTCTTCTGTCACAGGACTCATCTCACCAGCTGATTGTGGGTGTTCCCAATCATCCTGGTTCCTTGCCAAATCCCCAGTGTGCAGCCCTGGAACACACCTGGACTCAGTAACCATTTGCAGAAAAGCAGCAAACAAACAAGAAACACAGCCTCAGTCCCAGCACTAACACACCAAACAGCTTTCTTCCTGCTGCTCACTAAAGACAACACTCCAAGCCCACCCTTCCCAAGCCTGTGGCCTGGACAAGACCTCTCTGTTGCCAGAGGGCATGAAAAACTCATAGGGAACCATCTCCTAACTGACAGGTAATGGGTCAGTCTTAGGAAAGTGTCAAGTCTACCTGCAGTCAGCATGATTGTGCAGGAGCAATGGACAGATGGCATGGTGTGAGGTAGAGATGTACAGGGGAGGAAGGAAAGCTGGCAGTGGTATCAGGACAACAGCGAAGGAGGACCAGGAACAGAAATGGAAGGAAAAGCAAAAGCGAGATGGGAGAAACACACTATAGGGCAAAGCTTCATCCCATGATGGGATGCACCTTGCTCAGGGCATCTGGGTGTGGAGCTGGAGCTGGAGAGGACCACATGCCCACTGGCACAGCCATCCCACCATGGGAAGTTCCTCAGCAGGCAGGCAGGGGGATGACTCGGGTCCAAGCATCCTTATCACATACCTCCTACACCACAAAGCAGAACACCCTGAGCCTCAAAGTAAAGGACTGCTGAAGTGATGGCACAGCTATAGAAAGCAGCCCCCCAAAACCCTAACTTCTTAATAATACTTGGTAAAATGAAATGCCCGTGATAGTAAGTCTTTAGAAAAAGTGAATACACTGAGCACTACTAAACTGTATACCTAACAATGTTCAAGCTGGTAAAAAAAAAAGAGACCCAAAGAAACATGTTAAAAAAAATCAAGAAACACACAAAAAGTACACTGTATGATCCTTTATTGCTTTGTTTCTTGAGATACTGTACATCAAGCCAAAAGCAATGCAGTCCTGGTATGATCTGATATCATTTTTTAAAATTATGTACCACAAACACAGGAAAAATAATTAGAAAACAGTATTCCACAGTACTCAGGAGGTACTACTGTGGGTCTGTAGAATTATGAATGACTTGTGTAATTATCTTTCTTTTCCATAAAATCTCCATGATTTTTCACAGCTGTCTTTCACTTTTTCCATTATCAAAAGGCTTAAAAGAAAGGAATGAATATGCCATATTATTTTTAATAAAAGACTAAAACCAATAGGCTTAAAGGTCCATGAATACTTTTCTCATTTAAGGAACTGGACTCTGTTGACCCAGAAGAGCAGGACTCATTCCAAAGAAAGCTTCAAAATTAAATTTGCATGTGGAAATTGGAGCTGCATACAAATAGGCAGAATCCGATTACTAAAATGTTCATCACCCTTCTCAAGAGTGAGAAGTTCTGTCCCTCACAAGAAGGGGAACCTGTGCTGGAGGATGTGCCATGTCAGGTAGAAGCCAGTGCTACAGAAGGAGAATGTGCCCCTGAATGTGCTGAATGCCTAGGCAAAACAGGGGGGGGACAGGGTAGTTTGGTGGCAGCACACACTATGTGAAAAATCTACTTAGCAAAATCCCCCTTCCTCAGGTGATTCCCCTCCTGTCTCAAGGCAATTTCCAGACAGAAACTGGAAAGTAGATGAGCAAAATGTTTAGATCCTTACATAGTCTTCAGCGAGGCAAGTCTTGGAAAACTGAGCCATGGATAATAACCATGTAGGCTCAGTGCCGGGACCCAGGGCTGAAAGGGACTTCACCGTCCAGGAGTGCTAAGGAGCCCTGTAGGCAAACACCTGGTAGGCATGAGTGAAGACAGCAATAAGCTACAACTACTGCTAGTTAACATGTCCAGGTCTAGGGCACAGAGGAGTATGAAAACCAATTGTATTTACTTCCAAGTTCTGCCTGAATCTAAAACTTCTCTAAAAATAAAGCCTATTTAAAAGTGGGAGGAAAACCTAAGTTCTAAGCTTCCTGGTAGCCAAGGTCCTCCACCACTGTTCATACAAGAAATTCAGTTAGGTATGAAGAATCAAGAATTTTCCTCAACAGGCAGAGTGGTAGGACATCTGCCTAGCAAACACAAGGCCCTGAGTTCAATCCCTACAACAGCCAAAAAAAAAAATTGCAAAAATCATAGAAAGGACAAGAATTAGAGAACTGAGTGACAAAATTACACAGCAACCACAAATGGTCAGAAAACCCTATGCCAAAATTACTAAGAAAGAAAGTGACAGTGAGAGTGGTCAACTAATCCGAACTTCCTGTGGACACTTTTCTTTCTTGCACAGAGATAACTAGACTCTCACTTTTCTTGTGCTGTCACCAAAAATAACCAAGCAGAGATATGAAGGATAAAAAAGCCCATGATCAGCTATGTCCTCTTTACTTCCCTCTGCTCTCTCTCTTCTTCCTCACCATTCTGTGCCCATTCACTCCTAAATCAACAGCCAAATCCAGTGAGCCTGAAACCCTCCAATGTCTGGCTTCCTCCAGGCTGAGAAATGGGTCAAGGTCTCTCCTGGGAAAAGATGTGATATGCTTTCAAACCTAATGTATGATTTACATCTGAAGCTTGTGGACCAAGGCATCCTCAGCTTAGCAGGTTCACTTGGAACTACACAGAAAAGAACTAATACATTTTTTTCTCTCCACCAGAAAAGCTTATAAATCAAAGTTGCCCACTGTCCAATATTCAACAGCAGCTCTTATTCAAAGTCAAGGTGATGCTCTGAAACTCTCAAGGAAAAGGAAGGAAATGGATTACCAGCCACGCCAAAAGGTCGCCGCAAGCCCGAGGTCAGTTTCCTTGTGTTGCTGTCCCTCAGCTCCATGCGACCTACTCGGACAATCTGACAGACAAAACTGATTTTGTCCCTTTTCAGGTCTTTGCTTCCAAGGTCCTAGAAAGATTAATTTCCATAAATTATTGTACAGAACCAATTTTCAATGCAAGTATAATACAAAATGACAGTGAAAAACACGGATTGAGATTCTTCCTCAAACAAGGTTATAGCGTTTAATGTTATTCCCATGACAACAGGGAACTGCATAACAACAGTCAGTTACGTGAACTTAAGATACAAGCTTAAGGGTAAATCTTTGTCACAGTGAGTTTTACAGGAAGCTAGAGACTCAGATTTCTGGAAGGCACTACATGCTTCCTACAATAACTTATTGCAGACATCCCAGGGCCCCATAAACTGGTGCAGAAGGAAAGTCACTAAAAAGGCTGTTAGAGCAAGTGAGTAGCACAACTGAACATCTGTGGGTGCACTTACAGTAAAAACAGCTCGCAGATTATGTAATCTGTCTATATCTTTAGGTAATCCTGAACTTGACCAGCGAACCAGGTAGTTTTCACTTGAAAAAAAAAGAAATAAAAGCAAATTAATTTTCCAAATACAACAGGGTGCCAAAATGTGCATCCACGTGGTCTGGTAATTAATACTATGGGGTATACTACCACAAGTTTATAAACTACGTGCCTAAAAATATCAACAATATGAATTACAGTACCTCACCCACGACTGTGTGCTGTATGCACATACACACACATGCACACATACACTCACACACATATACATACACACGTACACATAACATACATAATACATGGTCACACATATACATGCACACACATACACACACATGCACACATACACATACACATAACATAAATAATACATGGTCACACACATATATATATACATACACATATATACACACATGCACACACACACATATACACATACACACATACACACATGTGCACATAAACATACACACATACACATAACATACATAATACAGTCACACACATACACACACATACATACATACACACCACTCTCACACACAGGCACACACATGCACACACATGCACATACATGCACACATATATACACATACACTCACAAACATACATACACACACACAGTTTAGCAGGTTTTCACTTGAGACATCTTTGGCTATAATTGTAATGGAACAGTTGCCAATGATATTTCAAAGTTTATAATTTGAAAAGCCTCGTCAATTTAGATAAACAACAGCGTAAGATTCAACACAATGTATGTTTAATTCAGAGCATAAAGCCAAATATGAACTGATCCTAGGTCAAAAGGAAATAAAGTCCTTATCCAAAGTGAGAATAAATTCACCCATTTATTCTGCTTCAGTCATACACTAAGTTTTTCAATTTTGAATAGTACCAGTGAAGAGATTGAAGTTTTAGCACACAGGAGAAACACACATACTTCACATACAGTTAAGTCATAATTTACATTGAATGCTAAACCCAGACAATGGATTTACAATATTTCCATTCAATGGATATTAATTATGAGTCTGTATGTGGCAGACACTATAGTCCAGCAATCAACTTGGAGAAACAACAATAGGAAATAAGTTATAGCAATGACACTCAAAAACCAAAAGTTTAAAAAGGGAAAAGGTGACATTTGGAGGGGGTCTAGAAACAATGTATTTCTTCAACCTTCATCTGGGTGTTCCTGTAACTACTGTAAATCTATAAGCAAACAGTATATGCTTGGAAGAAAACTCATTCATCACACCTAGAGCCCAAGGTCTGCCCCCCACAGTGCAGACAGCACCTGGCAGTGCCACTCCGGCTGGTGTCTGACAGCCCAGCCTTCCCCAGGGCCCTCAGAAGGGTGGACATGTGGGTAGTTCTGGCGCCATTTGCGTAAGCCTAACCAAGGAGCCAAGGAAGAAGCCTACCTGATGAACTTGGACTCTGCAGGGTCGTAAAGAGACATGAGCACTTCAGCATCCTCTCCGATTTTGCAAACCACATTTTTGAGGTTGACAAACAAGGCCAGAGAAGGGGTGGCAGCAAACTTAGCCTGCCTGTTAATATCCATGTTCTGCTTTTGAGACTAAATGGGGAAGAGGGGATGGAGCAGAGCAAAAAAATCAACATTAGCAATACTCATTGATCACCCTCGCCTGTTTTTATCCCCAAGAGAACAGAAGAAGATGCACAACTAGTTGGCTTAACTGAACAATGCCATTTCTGCTGTCATTCCCCTGGCCCCGCTACACATTCTCACACATCCACCTCATTGAAAACACGGTGCCCTAAGCAGTAGTCACCATCCTGAATCAGCTTAGGCTGAGTATTTCAGAGACACAGAACTTGCAGGCTTCCCATCAACAGATTGAAACAATGATTGTAGGGGTAGTTTCTTATTTTAATTTTTGGTTCCCTCATTAGAATAAATCCTTCAAGGACATCTTTGTCTCATTCTTCATTATATCCTCAGTACTCATAGAAGATATCCAATTAATACTTGCTGAATTAAAAGATGGCTCAATCAAATCGTGGACTTCTGAATGTCTACTATACACATGATACCGCTAGCAGGACATAGAGGAAAAGATCAGTCCTGTATTTTCTGCCCCATCAACCTTAGACTATGTCACCCCTTCTACTGGGAGAGGAAATGCAGAATCAACCATTGTCTCCCATTTGACCGATGAGAACACAGGGAAGGTCATCAAGATCGTGTCTTCTACCACGAAGACCTGTGCTGCATGCTCCCCTGGGGGATGAAATTCTCTCATGCCATCAGCAGCAGGCTTTGCCACCAGACTCCAGCCCACCCATCAGTGTCCGAAACACACTGTGAGCTTGTAACTTCTCAGGTTCTTCTTCAGTGCAAATTCTGGAGTCCCTTGATATTTTACTAATGTTGAAAGTGGTCACTGAGAAAGGCAGTCCACATGTGAAAGCCGATTACAGAGGGGACTTACTTTTTCTTCTTGTAATCTTTCTTCCACTTGTTTAGAAGCTATTTCATGAGCTCGGAAGAGACTAATTGTACTAGTTAGCTCTGGATCCAAAATGTTCCCATCTTCATCTCTCACCACCAGGTCCAAATCAAGAATTCTAGAACAATGAGAACTCAGAGCTTCAGGGACACAAACCCAGGGATTTGAATTCCCCCAGCACAACTTCAGCCCCGCCACTTAGCAGAAGAAAACATCACAGAACATTGGCTCATCCACAAATACCAGAGACAGAATCCTGTGAGGTCACTTTCTTTAACTCAAAATGTGTCACCTTGGGGAAATTAAAAAAACAAATTCCTCAATTTTTACTTCCATTGCAATAATGACTTTGTCTTACAATGAGAAAGTTTACAGGTCTACAAGTGAAATGCACATGGCTAATTGCTATGGAAAGTACAGCCAAAGCTCACTATTGCACATATGTATGACATGCGCATGTACATGTCCATCTACACCTGCCATCACATGTATATCACGTGCCCAAACACATTAAAAACGGCGGCTGTGAGAGCATCATTGGATGGCAGAGGCAGAGGAGGAGAGAGAACTGGAGCAGAGATATGCCTACCACCCTATTCACTCTCTGGGCTCTGGCAGGATCCCCAGGATGACTTCCCTTCTGCCTAGAGTCAGTACTAATCCCTACATTAAGCCACCGCCAAAGACTTGCAATGAAGATGTTCTATTGTGTTTGAACGCAGAACATATGGATGCTATCCACAATAACACTAAACAACTTCCTGGCCAGATGGCTAACTGTAGTGGCCAACCTCAACCTAAAATACAGACAACATCTGGCAAATAAATCTGTCCACTCTACTTCTTGAAATATCCTTTGACAAAACTCGCTCTGATTCTCTGAATCCAATAAAACCATTATGTGATTTTTACTGAATTTTCTTATTTTAAACAACAAACAAAGGGAATTAAATAGAATGAAGGATATCAAGAGTTGTGGTATGCCAGTGTGCTCTGGTTGTCTTTGTAATGTAACACACAGGTCTTAGGACATGAAATTAACCCTAGCTGCCTCAGACCCTGCCCTGCCACTGGGATTATATTCTTGCTATTAACAAGTCTATAGGAACAAGCCCTTTTTTCAAAATCATATGACACAGAAAAGAAACTCTTTAGAAAGACTAAATTGCAGACCAAGATCATTTTTAACAGTTACCAGTTTAAGCGGAAAGCTGAATCACCAATAAATACTCCATCAGACAAGCTAACAGGTTTCTCTTAGGTCACCTGCCTTAAAGCTAGAGGTGAGACTCAAGACAGGCCAGATGTGTTTGCTTTTTAGTGTTAGGCTAGGCCGTGACACCATTTGGAATGCAACTGCAAAAGCCTCATTTTTCTCTTTATGTCTACTGATGATGAGACAGGACCAACCTGGCCTGCCATCAGCATGAGGGTAAATAGGCATTTTAACAAATAGAGGCTTTAGCATGGCATGAAATCAACCTCAGTAGTTTCAACGTTTATGGGGTGCCTCAGAGGAACAGAGACATTTTATAAAAATACCTGGAAATCTCATTAGTTGTCTTTGTTACATGTTTCATTAATAAGCCATAGCTTGTCCCTCATCTCAGCCCTCACTCTGCATCTTGTAGCCAGAACTATATAGGTGAGGGGTCAATGTTGTGGGCGTTGGTCAGTGTATGGGTGAGTCAGTGCTGTGTGGTTGGGGTCAACATTGGTATTGGTGGGTCAGTAATATAATATGTGAGTGTGGTCATTGTTGTGTGGGCAGGTAGGTGCTGAGTGGGTGGGGCCAGTTCTGATATGGACAGAGGCAGAGTCTGTACTGTATGGGTGGGGTCAGCATTGGTGTGAGGGGTCAGTAGTGTATAAGTGTGGTCAATGTTATATGGTCAGGTAGGTACTGTGTGGGTGGGGCCATTTCAGGTATGGACAGGTCAGTGCTATATGGGCAGAGTCAGTATTGTGTGGATGGGGTCAGCATTGGTGTGGGTGGGTCAGTGCTGTGTGGATAGGGTCAGTATTGTTTCAAAGGCGTCAGCTCTGGTGTGAATCCTGCCACAAAGCATCTGTCTCCTAGAGGCTCAATCACAAGGTCCTGTAGGTCACACAGAATCAGACCCTCTCGAGAAAGATATGAGGCCCTCTGCCAGCCTGCATGTACATTCTGCCAGGGAATCATCACCTCAATACTGCCAGGAGACCTGCTCAGACCCACTTCACAAGGGGAAACCTAGTTCAGTAAAATTATTTACCTTGTCCAGCAGTAAACACTTAGAGAAGCCAGAGCCTGGACTTGGTGTCAGACCCTTGCTTTTCTCAGAATGCCAACTAAAAGCTGTCACATCACATAAGGTGGCTTGTTGCACCAACCATACTACACCCTGCTCTCAGTAATCAGTGCACCGCTGGTTCTGAATCCGGAGTGAGTTTCTGGTGGGAAGGATCTCACACAGCAAGGTGATCTGATCCCAGGGAAGGCTAAAGGTCTATGAGGAAGGGGCTGGAACCCTCCTGAAATGCTGTGTTGTGTGTGTTCCCTTGCGTACCTGTGGCTCTGGGTGCATCTGTATGCATATGTGCACTTCTATGTGTGTCTGTGCCTGCAGCTGTGTGTGTATTGTATGGGAGCATCTTTTCAAAGACACCATTTTGACCTTCACCACATTCTCAAATGACTCCCCAAGCCAACTCTCCACCAGGTCAACAAATAAAGGTAAAAACACCTACATGATGAATGAAAAAGATACAGTGCACCCAGTCCTTATTAAACTCACCCATCTTAAATCAAACGGTCAACACTGTGATTTTATTTTGTACTTCATTTTCTAAATGAGGAATTAGGAAGATATACACAGAGCATTGGGCTTTAGAGAAATAAAGCAGCAGCCTTGAGGTCCTCAAGCATAAAAAAAAAAGTTTCTTATTAAGGATTATATTTCCTATCAAAGTAGTAACTAAAATTTGGAAACTCTTTCTTAACTAGATTGTTCCATTACATAATGTACTTAGGTAGCTTCTAGCAGCCAAATTAAGCAGGCGCTCTCTGAACAGAAGTTAAAAATACAATGCTCCAATAGAAAAAAAAAAAAGAAAAACAGAGCTCTAAAACATGGTCTTCTAATGGGTCTTACTGCAACAATATCTAGTATCCTACACACAAAAATCTCTGCCTTTTGGGGAAAAACAACAATAACCTTCTACCACATTCTAAACCCAAAGCCTACATTCTGCTTATGATGTGACTTTAAGGAACTTTTCACACTCAAGTGTGAAAATAGGGATTACCATAAAACAAAATTATATTAGAATTCTGTTACAGTCTTAAGGAGCGGGTCCCAGGATTCTGTATTTTAAAACCTCTCCAAGTGAGTCTGATGTAGAAAAGCCTTTGGGACCCACGTGACCAGACTGTTTTTAACCCTTCTTGCAGCTCTGATACTGAAATCATAAGAACACCCAGCGACCAGGTGGGAAAGGACCTTGTTCTGGTTACAGACCTGGCAGAATTAAGGTTGAGCGACTCTTTACCTGGCAGCATCCAAAGGCGCTTGCTAATACTAGGACGAGTAGAGAACAAGCTAAAGGCGTGCAAGCAGAGCGGGAAGGAGAGGGGAAGGGATGATAAGCCTGCTGAGGATAGGAACAACGTTTGCAAGAGACTTACTTACAAGTCTGTAAATTTAAACTTAGTTAGGGCTGTGTTTCTGTTTGTAAAGCCTGGCATACCTACCCAGGGAACAAGTTTTATGGTGACCTGTGACATGCATTTAGCTCTCAGAACTGAGGGAGTCATGGAAAGAAACCTACTGCTGGTTACTGCACATCTGGACTCAAAGTCAAACGCAGTGAGTAAAGGTACAAGTTCTTTAGGGTTTGATCACTGTGGGTCCACTGGAAACAGTGAAAATGACAGGCTGTCTTGCCTTCCACTCTTGACCTCAACCACCCTGAGAACAGGTGTCATGGATGACTCAGTAAACCCCTGATCCTGATTTTCAGAATCCACTAGAAAATACCTCATCCTTTTGGAAATGAAAACTGTGCCATTGTTTTGATGTTAGAAATTTGATTTTATGATAAAATGTAATTGCAATGTTCTCCAGGCTTACGGCTATGTTATTATATTGGGTAATTTAAGCATGAAATCATCTTTTAAATAAACAAACCTGTTTCCATAATCAATTTTGGCTGTGACCTTCTTCTTCAGTTCTTTGAGCTCATCCTGGGGCAGAGTTCCAGACAGAATCTGTGAGCGCCACTCAATAAGGTCATAGATCATGTGTCGTACACTTCGAAACATATCCCTGTTATCTTGCTACACAGGAAAGAAATGGTGATTGTAAAGTTTTGCTAATGAAATAGCATGTGGAGATCATATTGAATGGATTTTTCTTCTAATACACATGTGGAGTACACACTATACCATGGGATTTGGTTAATGTCAAATTAAAACCTAATTTTAGCATACAATAGAGCACATTACATAGAATTTCGTTCCTACGAGACACTAAAAGACTAAGAAGTAATGCACAGACCCAAGAATGCATCCAACATTCCCAAGTGTGTGACTGTTCCCAAGCACTGAATTGAGAAGTTGAGCACAGCAGAAGGCAAACTTTGAGCCTCAAGCCTGACCTTGAGTTTCTAGCATGCAAGGCTTAAAACGCCCTTTGAATTAGTCTCAACTGAAAGTCCTGCCTGCCTGCTCACTTGTCAACAGTCTTCAGAACACCCTGAGAGACTGTACCCTCTGGCTGACCATACAGAAGGCCATCCACAGCACACACAGAAATTTGCAAGATACCAAGTCACAGTCTACAGGAACTTACACTTTTATGCCAAAAGAGAAATGCAACAAAGACACAAAATTCTCACTTCTTACCACCTTCTATATATTCTGACAGGATTCCTGGTACAAAGAAAAGCAACAGTTTTGCAACTGAAGGAGCAGGGTTCATCAAAGAGATTAGAGACTAGCTACCTGCAGTTCCTCCCACAGAAAGAAATCTAGGTGGGGGCCAGACAGACAGGATGGTGCACACCTGTAATCTCACCTACAGGAAGGCGGGGTAAGAGGTCAGCAGTTGCCCAGGGCAGCTCAAGGCCCTATCTGAAAAACAAACTAAAAGGACTGGGTTGTGGCTTAAAGGGTACCACTCGAGACTCTAAATTCAATCCCCAGCACTGCCCAAAAAAAAAAAAAAAATCTAAGTGGAACTTAATTTGGTAATACTTTAATCACCACAGACCCTTTTAAAAATTTAAGGATAGCCATTGCTGCTTTTTAAAATGCTTTCTGATCCACAGATCTGAACCACTATTAGAGATGCCTCTGTCTGGGAGTTTCTAAGAGCTCCTTCAACACATCCCATAGCACCCTGATGAGTTAGTTTACAGGCCAAGGGCTATTTATAAGAGTACCCTAATTTCAATTTCTTAAATAAAAATTAAGCAGTTAAAATTAATGATGTATTGCAAAATCATGTTCCTTTTCCTCTTACTAATTTTCTGTGTTTATTTTCCGAAAGCCATGTAAAATATCTGAAACCCTTAGTATTTTGTTGACTTGACTACAACCACACAGCAAGCAAAGAATGCATGTAAGGCCATTATAACCACCTCTGGCTTGGCTTTATGCAATGTAAGTCTGTCAGAGGCAAACTTAGGGTTTGTAGGAGGAAAACAGGTATAGCTAGGAACTCCCACCGAAGGACAGGAGGACTAAAACTATGTCCACTCACATAGTAGTCAGTACCAACTCCTGTTTGTTTTGTTGCCATATTTTTGTTTAAAAATTGCTAAGTTGAACATGAAATAGCGACTATGAATTTGCTCAGATTTACACAAAACATTCATGGCTAACTTTATGCTTTTAGGATTTTGAGTACGTTTGATGAACAATTACTGCAACTGCTTATTACTGTGCATTTATGGGAAACCACAGTAAAATCAAAAGTAACAAGCCTGCCCAACGAGCAGCTGTGGGGCTTTAGGAAGTTGTCTGCTCCCGAGAAATTAACGCACTCACTTCCTTCCACAGCCCTTGCTTGGTTATTGTAACATTAGCATATGAGAAACAACACTCTGAATAGAAATACAGGCTTAACAAAAGGTAATCTTCTGCAAATATGAATTTATGAGCAAAGAAATGCCCTGAGGGAATCTGAAATGGAAGATGTCAGAGCTCCAACATCTCAGCATTAATAAGACTTCTTCCAAGACCAAAAGCCCCGGACAATTGCACACCACGTCAGAATGTAAAATACTCCCTGAACTACCGCTAGCACAGCTAGAAGTTCTTCTCAAACCATAAGAGGTATTATCTACAGTCAATTAATGGCAAAAAATGACCACTCTACTACATCCATAAATAAGTACCTACTTCTGTTTAAAAGTAGATTTTACTTTTCACGCTCAAAATATAAACTCTGAAGTGACATCAACACCTCTTGCTTGATCCTGTCATCTAGGAGCCTGAAAGCAACCATATGCCCCAACACAGGCCCTCTCCTCTAACGCTCACTTTCTTACAGTGAGCAAGCTGCATTCCAGCACAATGCTGGTCAAAGGGCAGACAGCCCCCAACAGTAGCCAGACTGAGGGCCATGTTGCTCTCTGTGCCAGACCCCATCCCTGAAGCTCTCCTGTCAGAGTTCCCCAGGGAAGGAAAAGCAAGGTCCAGAAACATGGCTCTATTTTTAAGCTTTGATTGAACATCCCGTTTTCTTACCACATAGAGCTGCCTCCAGATGGTGGACCACTCTCGGAGTGTGGTGGTGACTTCCTGTATGAGTGGGAGGTCACCGGGGATGACAGTTTCATGTTGCCTGGGAAGAAAGCAAGAGAGAGCTGTTGATTCCATGGCTTCTGTAACCACTGTTTGCTGCACGTGATAAATTCCCCACCCAGGCCATCAAGTCCAACAGTTAAGTAAATGGAAAGAAAATATACAAACATAGCTGTGTTCACACGCATAAACATACATGTCTAAGAATGACAAGCGACATTTGTACACATCTTGAGAGTGTTCATACATTATCCTGCATGTAAGTCATCCACCCCATCCATCAAGGTAACATGATGTCAGATAATAGTCATTAAAAGACTTGGGAACATTAAGATATGGGAAGGAGGAAGTATATTCACAATGCGTGCACCCATCTATCTTAGAGATGCCATAAATTTCACCCAGTCTGCGTGGCATTAAAATGCAGGTTTGGGTTAAGGTTATTTTTGTATTTCCATCATGCATAAAACTCATTTTATGATAATGCAGGAAGGAGTTATCCTTGCTGAAACAGGAGACAAGTTACAGCTTTATAGTGTCCATGGGTCCTCTAGCCAGCCCCAACACTGAACACCCTCTTCTTCTTTCCATAAACTCCAAAAGATTTAACCCCTGTATTGTTTTGAACTCTTTATCTATATATGCATGCTTATAAATCAAATCAGTCATTGTTTGGTGGGGGTCAATGCTCGTCTCAGGCACTGCTCCAATCAGACTGAGTCTCTATCTGTGAGACTGAATCTCTGGCTTGTGTCATTAGGCCACCTGGCCTCAGGGGTCCTCTCTGTGTGTCCTGAACAGACCAGAAGCCCAGCCAGAGTGGTAGGTCCAGAGTCATTGCAATAGGTCACCCTACCTGGGGCCTGGGTTACCTATGGGAGGAACCCCCGACTTGGGCTCATAGTTGGGATTCAGGCTTGCGGTGACTTACTGATGGTGGGAGTTCCCCAAACAAGAGACAATGGAGAAGGAATGCTGTCATGAAGGTAATACTCAACATCTAAGGAAAACTGTTTATTACAAGTCCCCACTATGCTACATTTCCCCACTATGATACACACCTCCCTCTGGGAAAGGTGACTGCTGAAAAGTCCCCTGCTACCAGGTTTCTGGGTAAGTATGTAGCCACAGATGTGGTTCGTTGGGGTCTGGTCACCTTACAAGGCAGCGTGACCACTCATCAGCAGCTGGGGAGAATGCTCTCCCCTCCCAGGGAGACCCCTCCATGACCCCGAAGGTCATGCTGAATGGGGAAGACATTTCTCACTGGCTACGGAAGCATGGAGCTCAATTAGAATGCACTTCACCCAGGTGAGCAGGGCTTCAATTCCTATGCCCTGTCCTGATCTCAGTTCTGACGCCTGTTCACCTCCCCCCCCCCCGCAACATTGGCAGGATGGGACCCCTAGGACAAACATTGGTACCACTGTAATTCTGCTTTACCTGCCAGGGATCAGTAATATATAACCCTGACAATGTCTACCTCATAGGCTATGGGTAACACTAAAGGAAAGACAGCCATGGCAAAACAAAACATCTGTAGGAATGAATGGGACATGGTAGGGATGGGGTGCCGGTGAAAGGATACAAACTTTCTGTTAGACAGAAGGAATAAGTTCAAGGGCTCTCTTGCACAACATGGTAACTACAGTTGGTAACAATGTACTGAACACTTGAAAATGGTTAAAAAAGTAGATTTTAAATGTCCTCACCACAAATAAATAAGACTATGAGGTAGTGACTATGTTAATTAGATTGACTTAGCCATTCCACAAGGTAGACATCTTTGAAAACATCTCATTGTACACCATAAGTGTACACAATTTTTATTTACCAATTTAAAAAATATAGCTTTAAAAAAAAAAAAGGAATGACTTTGAGGGCAGAGCAGATGCTCAGTCAATAACAGTGGTTGTTAACAGTCACATGTTCCTACACAATTGTAGGAAACACCCAGAAATAGGTCAAGGCTGAAGATCCTGACTGGTATGCTTCCCATGGAAGGGAACAAGCACAAGCTGTGGGAGCAGAGAGGCCAAGTCCCAAGGGAGAGGCAGCAGAGAAATCAGAGAAGGCAAAGGGCAGCACCTGACAGCACTGAACAGGTAAAAAGGAGGGTGAAGCAGCTGGCAGTGGGTCACTAACAGCAGCAAGAGGATGTGACAGCCCCAGTGCTAACAAGGGGCTTCATGTGAAGAGGGGGTGAGCAATGTCCAATACTGCAGGCAACACTGCTACGCCTGGACATGAGGAAGCTTGGGTCACCTGTCAGGACAGCAGAGAGGACAAAATGGGAAGTACTGTTGTGTGGGAGAAAAGGCACACAATCTGTATTCAACGACATGCAACAGTCACTGGGGATCTCTGCAAGATGGCAGTGCCCTGAGGGAGGACAGAGATGGTATCATGTAAGAGGAAGAACACAGAGGAGAAAGCTCATGTAAGAAAGAGAACATGGAACCTATAAAGATCATGAGAAAGCAAGAGAGAGAGAGAGCCTGCAAGAGGGACGGGATAATGACCCTAGAGAACTGAGGCAATGGGGGTGGGGCAAAAGAGTGGCCATGCAGGCACTAGACAGGAGGAAAGACCAAGAAAGAAAGTGGACGTCCACAGCATCTGGAGAAAAGGAAGGTGAGGTCACCTGTCGGGTCCAAGGGCAGGAGACCCTTTAGAGGCAGAAGCTGTGGGCAGCCAGGTTGGGTGGGAGCAGTCCTCAGGGCTAGGTCAGATACACGGGGAGCAATAGCTGTGAGCCCAGAGCATCAGCATGGCAACTGTTCCTACACTGCTCCCTTCACCCTGGATCTGCTCACTCACCTACACCAGGGACCTTATACCTAAAGACCCAGGAGCAAGAAGCAAATGTGCCCCTCCCACCTGCCTGTGCTCTACTTACTAAGAATCAAGGTAATTTGTGTTCACTTTATTATTAGGCTTCATTAATACATTACACATATATTCTATACGTATATATTATATACGTATATATAAATGCTTTTGAAAAAATAATAGTCATAGGCAAGCTGACTTGAATAAGGATTCTGACCCAGACATACTAAGTACCTCAAATGCACACTTTATTCAGTTATTTCTGTAAAGGGGCAAAACTTTCAAAACCTCCCTTTCTTTTTCTTCCACTTAGAACTGTGCATACAAAACATTGTATCTGTCTGAAAAAAAATCACCATCACGCAGGTCATCACCACCAATGTCTCTAAATTATTTTCCTCATCTTAATTATGCATCATGGAACTCCAGAACCCAACAGTCCTTTTCATAGGTTAAAAGTACAGTGCTTGGAAAGGCAATTTTGTAATCAGCCAAAGAGATGTCATTATGCAGTAATCATACGACTAGTAATTTTACAATTTACATATTTAACTGAGTGTGAAGATGGAGCAGAGACCAAAAAAGAAAGCACTTTAATGTCCCTTCTCCCAAGTTCACACCTGGCTATTCATCTGCCATTCTGCCTAAAGGGTTCCAGTTCTACAAATGTCCTTTTAATGATCTTCTACATCAGTCTGATGACCTCAAGGAAGTATACACCACAATTAGATCAGATGTAAACTCACATGTGCCCCAATTTAACAACTGTTACTTCCCCCAACCTCTATTTGTATCACAGCATGACAAGTCTTCCAAAAAAATGGACTTGGAGCTGGGGGAGGGGGTGGTCTGTGAGTTATCTACCAAATGGAGTAGCTCACAAAGCAAGTAGAGCACTAAGACCAACACTTTCCAAAACTGACCTCAAGTTCAAGGAGAATGACTACAATTATAGTGCTGACCTCAGACTCTTTAAAGGATCAAAGCCATGTCATACACAACTCTGAATTACAATTCCCTTTTCCTTTCCCAAAGGTCCTGAACCACATGGTCAATCACACCTATAATCTTAACCCCCAATATTGCCCTACCTTACTTTGGAAGCCACAGAAAGTATAGTCATTGCAATTCTTCAAGTAAACATCAAGACCAGACTCACCCTTTGCCTTCAACTATCGCTTCTTTAAGATGAATATATGAAGCAGGAAATATACCCTTAGGGGGAAAAAAAAGATAATTTTTATTATCAATATGAATACTAATGGAAAATCAAACAATCACCCCACAAAGATGGGGACAGGGGTGGCTGGAACAACACTAATTTTTATAAGGCTTATGTTAAAGCCTCATATGAACACAGCAAAGAAAACACAAAGTATTAAAGACAACACAATCAGCTTGTATTTCAGACTCTGCAGATGTCTTAGAAGAAAACAGAGACATGCTTGAAAAGAACAATTCCACAAAGACACAGGAAACTCCTCATCTTCTCCATAGGCCACCTTCGGTTCCACTGTCGACCTTGGCACAGGCACATCAAAGGATATCTGATGCCAAAAACAGAATTTTGATGATGGTTTCTCCCTTGCAAAATGGTAGGACTGTCATCAAAAGTTGGTTTAACAATCATTTGTCCACTGATGACTGCACTGTGCTCCACACAGGGGCCATGGTAAGATCCAGAAAGGTGGGATGAATTTCACTCAATCAGTAATACTGGAGGGCGAAGAACTGCCTTAAGGATATAGAGTGCCCCGCATGTCCCAAATGAACCATGTCCAAGGAAGACAAAGTTCCTCAACAGGATGCTCAACATCAAACATAGTCTGTGAAGTGCCAGGAAGACTTTTATTGAGTCATGCAATGGGATGTCCTCACAGGAGTGAAACATAGGTGAGCACAGAGTGAGCTCCTGGCTGGAGTCTTGGTCAGCACAAACCACCAACCACGTCATGCATGAGATCTAATGCATGCAGCAGAAATCCAGTAAGAGCCCTGTGGTTCTGAAGCACTGGTTGTGGGAAGAGAAGCTCCTGACTGGGTTCCCCAGGTATCTGCCTTGAAGGAACCGCACAGGAGATCCAGACACCAGACTGCTACTCATGCCTGCAAGGTCATGAGGCTCAGAGAAGACTCAAGAGCTAGTGGGCCCCAGAGATCCCTGTTCCTCCTACCTACCAAGAAGTGGCTGCTTTGCATGTATACAAATATGATCACAGGGAGGAAAGGGGTCTGGCAGGAAGTCAGAGACTGAGCAATAATAAAGAAGACCCAAGAGACTCAACACACGGTTACTCCATTCAGGTCCCAAGTATCCCAGACAAGTCCAAATTGCAGGATGACCTGCAGGCAAGCAGGGGACATCTTTCCATGATGCCAGTGGGTATGTGCATGGATGGGGTTAGAAAAACAATCAAGCCTTTCCAGCCCTTCCAGGTCCACAGGAAGAGATCCCCTCCCCGCAGCAAGCCCACTCAGAGTCATCAGGCAGAGGAGGGAAAGAGGCTGCACAGACTGAACACACCTGGAGTTCTGAAATGAACAACTTCAGCTAGGGCACGAGGGACCAGCCCAGATCATGTGCACATTTGTAAATGTTCATACAGAGGATGCTCAGAGAGCACTTAAGAGTGTCCTCTGCTACTGCCTGGGAAGCTTCATTTTCTTTGATGATGGTCCCTGACCATTTCCCTCTTATAAAGTGGTAAGAATGTCATCAAAAGTTGATTTAATTTATCAAGAACAATATAAGATTAGAAACTGTCAGCAGTATTTTAGTTTTCTTAAGTTATTATACTCATCTGTCAATGAGGATCTAGGTAGAAAACAACCACACTCCTTCCCAGCTCTGTGGTGTCAGTGAGATGCAAAGCCTAGGCACCCTGGTGCAGGGCAGGAAATACTATGTACGGTTCAGGAGGCCCTGGGGGAGTAGGAGAGATCCCAGATTGAGGAAGGCAATACCAGAGACCAAATTCCAAACAAGCACCAAAGGAAAGTAAACAGCTCGCCTGAGGCATGAATTACCTGTGTGGTGCTGGGTAGGAGTACAGGAAAGGAGGGGGGAGTTAGTTCAAAACCCTAATCTCTTTATTATTAAAGTCCTCAACTGTAGCTCTCCCAGAAGAAACAGGGTTTCCCCTGCAGAAATATACCTTTGATTATAGAAGAAGAAATCAATGTGAAATGAGAACTTTCCTTGGAGGAGTCACCTTCCACCTGGTTGAAATCAATCCTATCCAAACTCCACAGCTGCAGGTCACTGAATGTCAGAGATGTGCAGTTCAGTCTGAACTCAGCCAGGCTGAGGTGGGAGGTCCTTGCTCCAATCCTTGGGTCTGGCTAACCACCATCATAAGGGCAATTCTCCAACCTGAACCATGAGGCAGAGGACAGCTGCCCTGGGGACCAGCCTGGACCATCCCATGTGACTGCCATGAGAGGACGGGGCAGCTTCACAGCCCTCACAGAGCTCCAACCAGGTTGGCACAGCTTGGCTCAGGCCTCTGGGGAGAGCAGAGCAAGAAGGCCCTGGCACTGGAGCCTCTGCACTTCCATAACCTCACTACAGACTCAGGACCACAATGGAGAGTCCAGCCCAATATGGAGACAGAGTGGCCAACTTTAAGAAGTAAAATGAATCATCTGTCAAGCATAATCAGACATTAAAATGTACAAGGTAACATGGAGAGCCTAACCACAGCTCAGAATGGCTGTTACTTCAAAATCACATCACAGAATAAAAAAGAAGAACCGTAATTAGGTTCTGCAAAGCTAAGAATGTCGAAGCCACCCAGAACTGTGGGGGAGTGTCCACCACAGTGCTCTGAAGTGTAATTACATGTTTTCGTTACAGATACTCAAAGGACCATGCACACATTCAAAGGATAGCAAAAAGTGGGTTTTTTTGGGACTTGACTTGAGCACTCTGAAAATTGTCTTAAGCAAGAGGGAAATGAGCATGCATGAGTTCTGCACATTTGTTAATTCAACAAGGACAATATAAGATTGGAAGATGTTCACAGCATTATCTTGAAGTCATTATGCTCAACTCACCCTCTTAGACGCACAGCGCCCCAGAAGGATGAAATATTCTATTAGGACAAAAAGGATGCCCCCTTTATGAACACAGGCCAACACCACATCACAATCCAGCAATTCACTCACAGGAAGTAGCTGAGATTTCTATGTACAGGTATTATTCAGAAACAAACAGTTCAAGGTCATTCACATTTTAACCAATTCATTTCTTAAATTCAGAGAAAGAGATACATAAGTAAAACTCTAAGACACAAATGAGATGGAATTGATTTCCTGTCACGGTTTGATTTATGAAGGAACATGCATTGTGCTTAATGAAAAGGACTTACCTTCTTAGACTTTTTCCTTAAGGTGTATCCTCTGTACCACCCTAAACAAACACAAAGTTGAAAGAGTTAGTACAAGAAGACAAAGCAGGTCTTAGCAATCCCTCCGTGGTGTGCAAGCTCACTGCTCTACAGAGCCAGTGAAGGCAACAACCCTAAGGCCTGGGAAGGGCATCTTGTGTCTCCATCCTCCTGACCTTCACGCCTTCATCTCCGCCTGCCCCACCTGGCCCCAAAGCAGAGATCTGAAGAAGCCTCACCCCTACAGAAGGGCTGGTCCTTTTAACCAGTGTCCCTGATTAGGCTCCATGTGTCTACATTTTTCTATCTCTCCCTCTGCCTGACTTAGAGCAGGGCTTCTTCAAGTGTACAAAGCAGCATCCTCAGATCATCCCGAGCCGCACCAGACAGAAAACCCATTGAGTACTCACTTCCTCCTTCTTCAATGCAGAGGAGCTTTGCCCTGGGGCATCCATGATCTCACAAAGTACTTCTATGGCAGACTCAGCCCTCAGCAGGAAGTGCCAGGGACGGACTCAGCACTCCCCCATCCCCATCCACTTCAGAGTTGGCTTGGATCCAATTTCCCATTCCCTCCATGTGGTGAGAGAAGGAAAAGTGGGAGAGTCTCTGAAGAACTATCCACCTCAACAGCACACCAGATCTGACCCCACCCTTGGCACCTCCCAACAGGCTGAGTGGAAAAACTTGTCCGGAACCAGTCTCCCCACTAGTCCATCATGGCATGAAGTCAGATGGCTGTTTTCTTACCCCAAACATTCTGAAGTCACTCCAGGCCGCTTCACTTCCAGAAAGAAAATCAAAAGCTCAGGGACAAATCCCAACTCCACCCACAGGAATAAAAGGACCCTGTTGCAGGGTAGCAGACAGCACTTAGAAAATGTAAGCTGGGTGAGTTCTCAAAGAGCCAAACCCCAGAATCCAAAGACACATCAAAGAACAAGCTCAGATGGAAACAGAAACGGGCAAATGGGTGACAATGTCCTGGGTCCTCTCAAAAAGTAGTAATTTTTTTTTTTTTGTGGTACTAGGGTTCGAATTCAGGGCCTCATGCTTGCTAGGCAGGCAGGCATTCTACCACTTGAGCCACTCCGTCAGCCCTTTTTTGTGGTGGGTTTTTTTCCAGATAGGGGCTCATGAACTATTTGCCTGGGGCTGGCTTCGAACCTCGATCCTCTTGATCTCTGCCCCATGAATAGCTAGGATTACAGGCATGAGCCACCAGTGCCCAGCAAAAAGTAGTAATCAACAACCAAGGGTAAAGAAGATGACTATGAGCCAGGAAGCAATGGTGCCAGTGCAAACAAAATCCTCAGGAGATTATTAATCACTGCTCTTTTTAGCACTCAGAATTCCCAGGACACTTGCAAAGGATTTGCTAAAACCCAGTTAGGACCAGCTGAACCCACAGACTATAAAAAGGGGGCACTGCAGGTTCTATATGTCAGGTGACAGGCTTCCAAAAGACTATCTCTGACAGCCACATGGTCAAGTGTGAGGTTTCAGAGATGTTAGTCCTGAGTCAGTGGCCACCTGTCATACGTGCTCACAGACAGTAAAATGGAAACAGGGAGGGCAAATCTAATGAGTTATTCGAAATGTGCATTTACTCAATTAAAGAACTGTCCTTTATCCTGTCTTATGCCCTTCCCACATTTTTGGCACTATTATGTCTTTTCTTCTCTGAAACTGACAAAGGATTAATGTCCCAAAATATATAAAAAAAAAAAAATCAGAGACAAGAAAAAGGCAACAACCAAGTAAGAAATAGAAGCAAACTGAATAAACAATGTATTAAAGAAACACAAAAGACTTACACGTGTATGAAGGAATGCTCAAACTTAATGAAAGAATCAGAGTGAAAACTTAAAACTGCTGAACGGTAATTTAGAGTGCTTGAAACTGGAAGGCTGCCCCAGGCACTGAGAGGGGTGTGTGGACTACAGCTGCTGTGGAGAATGTAACAGGTCCCGCTCACCCAAAGTGTGAACCCCACACTGGGAACCACCAAGCCTTCCTGGGAACATAGCGGTGCCTGTACACCGTGGGTCATATACAATATGTGTATAGCAGCATGGTCCAGGTGGCTAAAGCAGAGATAGTCTGAACTGCTGTAACTGGGGGCTGGGGGGCTGCAAAACCTGGGACGTGCACACAAAGCAGTTAGACCTATGGACTGAAACAGACAACAAAGGCACTTCCTAAAGTAGAGCCCCGTGAGATACAGAGAGCTACAGCCATATTTATCTATAATAAAAACATGTGCACCCAAAACAGGGCAAGAACATAGGTAAACAAAAGTCCACTTCAAATAGGGCAGAAGTTTTGTTTCATGTTTTGTTTTTAGAGGAAGTGAGCTATGGGGATGGTGGAGAGGAGCATCCATCCTTTTACTTAAACTTCTTTTATAATATGCTTTCTAAGCAAAATGCAAACCTATGGTTGCCTTCCCCAGATATTCTGCATGCATTGTGTCTTCATCTAACTGAGCCCACATACTATGGGCCAGAACCTTTTTGGGTACATAAGTACAGACCCAGATTGAACCCAATGTCTGCTCTCCAAGAGCTTGTAACTGGGGGCACAGGGTGTGGGGTTAAGACCAGCTACACTGCAAGACAGAGGGCTCAGTTTGAAATATGGTTCCAAAGAGGAGACAAGGCTGGGGGTAGAGAGAGCCTCAGTCAGTGGAAATAACAGGTGGGTTAACTTCTCCCAGGCTAGTGGCCTGTACCTAGTCAACCCAACACTTTAGAGACTGGGAAACATGGGCAAAACATAGCCCTGAGCCCGGGGAGGCCACAGACCAGCACAGGAAGATGGCGGTCATTTTGGAAGAAAATCTATCATTATCACTCTTAAAAATTTAAATTAATCATGTTCAAATGTCACAGCTGCATCAAAAGGATAACTTCCTGACCTTTGTGCAATGGTGGCAGCTTCCTTTAGGTCCAGTAGCCAGCCCTGGGAGACCTTAAGCAAATGAGCAGGCAGTAGGATTGGCATGTCTTTGATGTATTTAACAAAGAAAGGGGGAGCAGGGGTGGGGGGTGGGGAGGGAGGAAAAAAGCTATGTGGGGAAGGGGGATGATCATCTAGAAATGACACCCTTTGCAGCAAGCTGGGTAATATCCTGAAAGGATCACAGCAAAAAAGAAAATGAAGGCTGACAAACAGGAATTATTTTCTTAGAGGAAAAGTGAGGAGGGGAAAAGAAAGGAGAAAAAGTCAAACTCAAAGATAAACCATGAAATGCACAGAGATGATGAGGAAGATGCAGGAAAACAAATGCAAGTATATTATTTTGTTTTCATTCAATGATGATAAAGTCACCAAGTTTCCTGAAGGTGAAATGAGTTCCCTAAATGCTTTTCTCTGAACAGAATCTGATTAAAACCAATAAGTTAGCTGTCAAAGAAAGGAAATTCATTTTCCACTAAAGAGCTACAAAGATTGAAATGTTTTAATCAGACGCTAGGAAAGTTGACAAAATCTAGGAAGGTGCACAAGACTCCTTATCACGATGTCAGCCTGAAAGTCAAATGCTGCCATCAGAGTTTTTAGAAGTTAATGTGTAACGAGGACCACTGATGGCACTGTTTAAAGGGTATATCCCCCTCATGGAGCAAGGACAAGACACTGTAGTCTCCATACACCCAGGCACCACAGGAAATCATTAACCATTCAGCAATGATCTCACTACCCAGTGTTTACTACCCAAGACTCCAAGTTCAGCTGACCGGTGGCAAAAATATAAATGATACCAGAGCATTTCCCTTCAGATCAGAAAAGCATCTGTGATGAGAAGTTTGATCCTTAACCTCTACTTAATTTCTGTTTCCTCCAAGCCACTGGCAATATGTACTTGAGAGTAGATTAGGAAATCCAACTGTCAGCTGTCAAAATCAAAAACCAGCAGACGCCCACCACAGCTACTCACTGGATCTGTTTCACAGAGCAACAGCTGTGTCCAGGCAGATGCCACCAAAGGGGATTTTTTTTCAGATAGGAATTTTTAGGGTAAAAAGTGAAAACAGAGGAGTTCTAAGTCAGCACCCATCGGGTGGAGAAACGAGAGCCAAAACCAAGGGTACTTTAATAGGTGTGTGCTTCTCAGAGCAGTCTCCAAGGGACACCAGAGTCAGCCACAACTAGACTGGCCCACAAAAGCTAAGTGTGGCTAGTTCCTGTGCAAATGGACCTTTCTGAAAGTTTGAATTGTTGATTGCTCTGGGGTATCTACAATATCCTCCTCCATTTGGAAAGGCTTAGCTAAACCTGGTCTAAAAGCAATTTGGTTATTTAAATTTTCATTAATCAGTTCTTTTTATTCACGTCCTAGCTGGGGATCTCCACCCCCCCCACCCAAGCCAAAAACTAGAAAAAAAATCTTAACAAAACCTCCAGTTTGGAGCAATGCTAAAAAAAAAAAAAAAAAAAAAAACTCAATTATTGCTTTCCTTCTGTGCAATAATAACCTCAGAATAAAGTGAAAAGTGGTCACTCAAATAATATACAAAACACTGAATAAAAAAATATGAAAACCAGCTGCCTGAAAAAACCAAGGATACCTGAAATCCATTGTAACCACCACGTTTACCAGATAACAGTTCCAACTACTTCACTGGACTGCATCCCACATGACTGTGACAATCTACTCACCCCTAAGAAAACGGGGTCACAGACAACAAACGGAAGAGGGAAAATTAAGTGCCAATCGTGACTTGCTGTTAACAAGTCAAAGTAAGGGCATTTTAAACATATGTCACAATTCGCATCAACACAGCAAACCAACTAATGAAAACTAGAACATCTTAAATCTATTTCTTCATCAAATGGTTATTAGCCATCAAGATTTACATACTCTTGCAAAAACAAAAGGGCCAATGAAGGTTTTTTAAGAGACTAAAAATAGGAATTTTTAGTTGTAAGTTGATCTTAATGAAGTCTCATTTAAATAACAAATAGAAGAAATTACCTAAAATGGGATCCCTCTGTAAGAAAAGAATTGTGAGAATTGTACATGACGACGTGTGTTTGTGTAACCGGCACTAAAAGAGTATCCCACCCGCCCAAAACAGCAGGAAAGGAGACATGTGATAACACGTACCTTCATATGTCTCTAGGATGTGCACAGTGTCTCCGATTTGTAAAGAAAGCTCATCCACTCCCCTGGCATCATAGTTATAAAAGGCTGTTGAGAAAAAAAAAAAAAAGGAGCGAAGATATATTAACAGAGGTAGACATGACTGTGCTGAACTGTTTTTTGCTTGTTTTTAATGTTGAAATGCATTCAGTCTTTGCCATGTCATCAAAAGCAGCCTTTTCTTCCAGACACAAAGTCAGAGAAATACACAGGACCCAGCACCCCAGACAATCCTGCCACATGAACATGTACAACTCAGTGCCATTAATTAAACTCACAGTGTTCTGCAACCATCACTCCTATCTATTTCCAAAAATGCTTCCATCACTCCAAACAGAAACCCTGTACCCACCAAGCACCAACTCCTCACTCCTCACTTGGTCTGTGTTACACCATGTACCAACCTGAACAATATTCCACATTACCGAATGTTTATAGCAGGAAGAAAACCGAGGACGTGGTTAGAAGCATTTTCACTGTCATTTCATATGCTATCTTTATTTCCATTAATAGAATTTTCAATTTTTTTCTAACTATGAATCAGTTGCACTCAGACTAAATATTTCTTGGAAACTGAACTGGCACAATTGTCCTATAACCAATGTTGATATTAAGCCAACAGGTCACATTTCAATCACAGTAGACAAAAATACATCCAACATTAATAAGAAATCCCTAAGAACTGGGAGTAGAGCTCACTGGTAGCAGATTTGCCTAGCATGCTCGAGGCCCTGGATTTGATACCAAGTACCACAAAAAAAAAAAAAAAGAACAAATCCTTCAAGATGACAATGATATTCACAAAATGCCTGACATCCCAAATATTTGTCCTAATATACAGCTGCTCCTATTTTGCAAAAAGAAAGTTGTATTGCTCTTACCTAAGCTCCTAAACAATCGAATTATTAAATTTAACCACACTTGTCCTCAAGTATCATGGGAGAAAGGCAACTCTCACACATGTAAAGGACGTTACAAAGTGTCTTAGACTCAGAAAGTATTCAAATCGTTTGCTCTTGATTTATGTAAAAGAAAACATACATGTATGCACACACATGCTAGTGCACACACACTTAGAACGACGTTCTTCCTACACAAATCATTGTACCATTCAATGTAAAATTCAAAATCCTGATCAAACTTCTCGCCCATCCATCCCAAACATCCCAACCACACCAGGCTATCCTGAAGCATCACTGCCATCAGGCAGTATCTCTAAAGTTCTCCTTCACCTCAATGTGTGCAGACTCCTCCCATAAGTCCCTCCACCTCTGGACACCTTGCCTTACCTTCCTCCAACCCTTATCCTGAGTTTCTTCCCAAAAGGAAAAGCCAATCGTCTCACAGATAGGGCACCAACCCGAACCCCTTTCCCAGTCGACTCCCTGCTGGTGCACCTTTAGAATGCGCAAAGTGAGAAAGTATTTCCTCTCCACCCTCCAGACACTTCTGGCTCTGCACCACAATTCATGCCTTTTCTATCTCACTCTGTGTGAGCCAAGCCCATTGCAGACTGTGTATTGAGATGTCCCCACTAAATAAAAGTCACATACCTTTCACCTGTGTGCCTCCACTACAAGGATGGTTTAAGGAGTGACCCCAAGATGCCCTGGGATGCAAAGGCAGACTAGAATTTCAGCCCAGGCAGCCCTATGGGTCCATGTCCTCGGTCCCTAGAGACACACAAGCGAGCAAAAGAATACCTCTATTCCTGAACACCTAAGTGGCCACAAGCACATGACATACTCCCCATCTTCAGTTTCTCAATCTGTCACCTAAGGATACCAGCACATAGACTCATGTGTGCACGCTGTGTCTTACAGATTTTAAAGCTGCTGACGGATTTGGCACAATGGGGCCCATAGTGAGCACTGAGCTAGTGCTCTTAAGGTGGTAGGTATTTTGTTTTTTCTTCTCTGACTACACAGCTTCTAGAATCCTTTCTTAAAAATTCAAAGTGAAGGCATGTTCAAACAACCACACAAATTCTAAAGTGTCAAAAACCATGTGAAAAAAGTTCCATTTTCTCAGGTATTTCTCCCCAAACTCATAAAACGTGAGTGTCCTCAACTGACAAAGATGGTGAGTAGCAGCTGTTAAGTTTATTTAGCATTTTACAGTGAGTCTTTAACTGCACAGGCAAAGGAAGCCCAGAGCATCTGCAGAACTTCCCATCAGGCACGACCATATTCCTAAATCTTTCAGGGCCACAGGAGCACTTCTCTCTCTTCTCAACGCCTCTATTAACAGTCCGTTCATTGTACACACGCAGTGCTCACTCCAGCAAATTCATCACCTCTATTAACAGTCCGTTCATTGTACACACGCGGTGCTCACTCCAGCAAATTCATCACCTCTATTAACAGTTCGTTCATTGTACACACGCAGTGCTCCGTTCATTGTACACACGCAGTGCTCACTCCAGCAAATTCATCACCTCTATTAACAGTCCGTTCATTGTACACACGCAGTGCTCACTTCAGCAAATTCATCACCTCTATTAACAGTCCGTTCATTGTACACACGCGGTGCTCACTTCAGCAAATTCATCACCTCTATTAACAGTCCGTTCATTGTACACACGCGGTGCTCACTTCAGCAAATTCATCACCTCTATTAACAGTCCGTTCATTGTACACACGCAGTGCTCATTTCAGCAAATTCATCACCTCTATTAACAGTCCGTTCATTGTACACACGCAGTGCTCACTTCAGCAAATTCATGAGGCTTGCATATATATATTACAGACCAACAGAGGGAGAGAACAGGATCACAGTGCATTATAAGCACGTGTGGAAATGTACAATAACCCCCATTTATTATAGGCTAATTTTAAAAGATACAAAACATAAGCAGATGACAAAAATAAGAAAAATGTAATAAAGTGAGCCCATCTTATGTAAACACATCCAGGCATGTGTGAATCTGTAACACACATACTTGCAATTCTTTCCTCTGTGCCTTACCTCTCAGAACCCCATTACACCCTGTTCTTGACATAATATCTGAAAAGTCGGGGTGAGCGTCTCAGGAAATGAACCTGAACATCTATGACTTGGGTGTGCACATGATCCCCAAATCACATAGTTAGGACCACCACATAGGCTACCCAGCCCTGGCACTGTCTTCAAACTGGTATTAATAAGTAAATAACCCAGACATAAAAATCGATTAAAGAACTTGACAATATAACAGCGTTTGACAAGGCAAGGGTGGCAGATAGAATAAGGGCTCTCCAAAATGTTTCCATGAGGGACAAAAGTGTCCCTCATGAGGCACTGCAGGTGTGACTGAATTCAGGTGTTGAGATGGAGAAGTGAATCCTGGGTCTCTTCAGTGGGCCCAGTGCAATCTCAAAGGTTCTTCCGAAAGGAGGCAGGAGGGACAGAAGGCAGAGCAGAGATGAGGTCCCAGGGTCTCAAGAAAGGAGAAAACACTAGCACAGAAAGACAGCAGCCTATAGATGCAGGAGAAGGCAGAGGCACATTTTCCACAGCCCTGTGGACACCTGGATTTTAGGACTTTGGATCTGCAGAACCAGGCGATGCTGGTGTGAGTTGTTTTAAGGTCAGCGTGTATGGTAATGTGTTATAGCAACAACAGGAGACTTGTGCAAGGAGGTATGTCAACAGGTATGTAGGAGGTATTTAAAAGTGGACCCTGTGGTTAATTAATTCACTCCTTTAGGCAGCTGGAACAGGGTCTCCACTGTAGGAACCTGGACACAGGTTGGTGATGTGAGGAAAATGAGGACAACGCAAGGATTTGAAAAAACAAATCAAAACACCCAAGTATTCAATTTAAGACTATGCCATATTTTGATGTTCAACCTTTCAAAGTTGCCTCTCGTGAGAGGCGCGGGTGAGGATAAGGGCGGGGTGAGAAAGAGTAGAAGAGTCTTCTTAGAAGCATGGTGGTAGGAAATGCCATCTGGGCATTAAATGTCTTCACGTGATGCTGTCGCACAGCGATGGCAACCTTCCTACCATCTCCTTACTTTTCTCATCTGCTGAGTCCTGGGGATCCCTGCACTGGAGAGCATGGTCATTGTGTCTCATTCACATCCAGGAAAGTGTGGCCATAGCCTCCCTCTAGGCGGTGCCCGTATGCCTAACACACTCCTCCTTCTTGAGCCCGTTTGCTTTTCACAATGGCCGAGGTATAGATGGGTGCCACCCAGTACCAATGCATGTCCACATGGACTTCTCCATGCTGGACTGCAGAGTCCAACAGAAGCTTGGCATGTTGCTGATGGGCAAGTTAGATGGGAAAAGTACAGGGATCTACCGCATAAATCTCGCTTCCTGGCTGCTGGCATTTTTAATTCTCACTTTTTTCCATAAAAGCTTGGAAGAAGCCCAGAGTGAGTAAACACATGGGCCTTTTACCCAAGCTAAAAAATGAACACTCTAATCTGTGCCTCATATACCTTATGTGCATAAGAGACTTGGAAAGGCAAAGCCCACCTCTGCTCAATCTCCTGATCACCTTCCAAAGCTGCTAGTGAGGTCAGAAAAGATCAGTGACACCTAAGACCATATAGGAGACAGAAAAGCTTCCTCTGCACCAATAACGCCAACCATGCTGATGCTGACAGTGCCACAGCTGCTGCTGCTATGATGGTGGTGATGACAACGACAATGGTGGTGGTGATGATGGCAAAGACAGTGATGCTGATGGTGAATGTAATGGTGGTGATGGCGGTGATGGTGGTGGTGATGGTGAAAGTGACTGTGGTGATGGTGGTGGTGATGATAGCAATGATGGGGATGGGGATGATGAAATGGTGATGATGACAGTGACGATGGTGGCATCAATGACAATGACTACATAACAGTACTGGCTGACATGTACTAAGCATATTCCATGGATCAGGCAGTGAGCAAGGAGCTTCCCATATTCACATTAATTTGCCCATCACAACAGTCCAATGAAGGAGATAGACTTTTTCCCATATTCCTTAACCCAGATTACAGAAGCTCAGTCCACTCATCTCTAGGTACCCCCTGGAGAAGTTGTACAGGCCAGAATCCAGACTGGATAAAGG